GTTCCCCCTCGGATCATGTAGCTCGTTTCTCCTTAGCAGGTCTGTTGTTCACATATACTTTTTTTTAACACATACAAGATTTTTTTTTTGGGGGGGGGCTGAGTTTGTACATATCTGTGGACAGACATGTGGATATTTAACCCTACTATCACTTTCAGGCAGGGTTATCCGTAGGTTGATTTAAATATCAGATTTTCTCAAGGAGGGAATGTACTTTTTCTTTATATAAACACAAGGGCGTAGTTTTTGGATGTAGACTTCCTCCTTTTGACATGAGTTCTGCTTAAAATTCTGAGTGGAGCTGTAGCTTGTTAATGAGGTGATTGCTCTAACTGAAGTGTTTTCAGAGAATTTACATCAAGGTTGAAGGCAGAAAAAGGACCAGAAGGTGCTGAGAGCAGGTGTGGATGGTGGTTCGTGGGAAGCGGGCTCTTCTGTGGCTCTGACCAGCGTGGTCTGTCAGGCATGGTGACCGCACCCACCGGAGTGATTGAGACAGAGTTAAGCGCCGGTCCCCCCGGTTTGAGTGCTTGACACGGGGTCAGAGCAGCCGTGTTGGCCCCAGAGGCCCGTGCGTGGGGCTCCCCGCTGTCCAATCAGGAGCCGCTGGTTTTCTGGGCCCGGTGGTCGTGCGCCCTGAAACAGCAGGGGTCCCGCCTCGGAGACTTGCTGGCGGGAGTGGCGCTCACGAGGTGGGACGTTTTCGGAGCGTTGTTGCACCCATGCGTCTGCTTCCCGGTGTGAGGTGGGACCCGGAGGGACGCGATCGGTGTCGACAGGACCACAGTCACACCGAGGAGACCACTGGGCGGGCGTGTGGTGGCAGGAGGAGGAGATGTGGATGATCTGCGCTGAGATTGCTCAGTAGGAGCTGAAGGACTGGGTGTGTGCAGGGCGGCTGCGGCAGGAAGGGGGTGGCAGGCGTGTTCCCAGAGTGCCTTGCAAAACCCCGAGTGGACAGTTTGCTGTTTCCTGAGCACGTGCGCCTGAAGGGGGGCAGGAGAGGGGTGCATGGCGAGCGTGGTCTCAGCATCGAGTCAGAGGGCCTGAGAGGCCTCCGAGGGCGGAGGCAGGTGGGGTGCGGGAGGATGCAGCTCGGCTGCACGTGTGAGAGAGTGGGGTGAGGTTAGGATCACGGAGGGTGGAGAACATTTAAGCCACGGGGGAGTTGGGGGTCAGCCAGAGACCCGTGTAAGGGCCACGCTGGAATGGAGTCCGAGCATTTCTCACGACTTGCTGCGTCTCTCGATCAGCTGGACGTCAAGGAGGGAGCCGCGGTGCCCTCGCGGGCCTGGTGTTCGCCAGAGGGACGGGGAACACGAGGCGGTGCTGATGCTGGCTCGTCTGAGCAGCCCAGTGCGCCTGGGCTCCGCGAGGAAGCAAGGCCTGGAGGGTCGCTGGGCCCGGGGGCGGGACAGGGAGGCAGTGCGATGAGCTTGTCTGTCACTGTGACGATGGGGGTGGTGAGAGGACTTGTCCGCCAGGCGCTCATATCGTAGGAAGATGGGTTGTTTCCTACGGTCTGCTGGGCCGGCGACAGAAATGCGCGTGGGTGTCGGCCAGCGTCCGAAGGTGGTGTGAACTAGCTCAGGACACACGTGGCCCGTGAACTCCCGAGGCCGGGCCAGCCCGGCGTGGGCCCCACCCCGCCCTGCTGCTCTCTCCGCGCCGCCTTGCGCTGACGCATCCTGGGGTCGGGCTGGACCCCGATCCTCACCCGCCCAGCCCGCTGACCGCCTCACGTGGGCGCTGCCCAGAGCTGCGCGTGGTCGGCGGTGCAGCCAGGGCAGCAGCCCTCGCTGTCGGCTGCTGGAGCTCGCTGCCTGTCGGGTAAACAGAACGGGGTGTATCTGAAGGTCCTTCTGCGGGTGCGGCGTCCTGGAAGTTAATCCTTTTAGGAAAGAAATAGAAAATTAAAAATGAATTTGTCCTCATATTCCTCGGGTCACACATCCGCGCGGAAACTGGGAGATGCAGAGAAGCACGAAGCACCCCAGGAGCAGGCCCTCGTGGCTGTCGTCCCATGACGGGGTGCTCCTGGTTGGCCTTGCTGTGCCTACTGCTCCCCACCACCCGGACGCCCCTTCCTGCTTCACCCGGGGGCGGGGGCTGCCTCCAAGGGCCCGTGGGTCAGCGGGTGCTGGGGACCCTCCCTTCTCCTGCTGAGAGTGTTCGCGACCAGATCCCGGGGCCCTCGTGGCCCTCGCCCCCCCTGCGTGGGCCCTGGCGTGTTCTCCAGCACCTGTCCACTCCACCCCGTCACCCCGCCGTCCAGAGTGCAGAGGCTCTGGTGGTTACGGCCGCACCTGCGAGCTGACAGGCGGGCCCACCAGGTGCTGCCCGAGGCCAAGGACCTTCGACTCGGCACGGCAGCTGTGACCTCGCTCCTGGCAGTTCCCCGGACCTGCAGCCCCGGGGCACGCGGCCAGGGGGTGCTCCCACAGTGGGCCCGTCCCAGCCGAGGAGCCCCGAGCGTGGGGGCCGCGCTACTTAAAGTGGGCTGCGCACAGACCCCCGGTGCTCTGCAGGGGCGTCCCCTCTCGGGATGGGCGTGGAGACCTGCCCTGCTTCAGAGAGGCTCCGCCTCCACCTTCCAAGGCCTCGCGCTCCACAAACCCCCTCCAACAGACCCGTGGAACCTCACCCTCAGCACAGACACAAACTAGAGAAAAACGAACATCAATGCTAAGAAATACTTCTTTTTTTTTTTTTTTTAAATTTATCCTCACCCGAGGACATTTTTGTATTTATTTTGAGATAGAGCGGGAGGGACAGAGGGAGGAAGAGAGAGAGAGAAACATCGATGTGAGAGAGACACATCGGGTGGCTGCCACCCACACGACCCCAACTGGGGTCGAGGACAAACTGCAACCGAGGTCCATGCCCTTAGCGGGAACCGAACCCAGGACTCTCTGGTCTGCGGGCTGACACTCTAACCGCTGAGCCAAACTGGCCAGGGCAAGAAATACTTCTTAACAAAATATCAGAGGAAGTGTGTAAATCTTATGGAGATTAATTCCCTACATGTATCCTCATCATCTTCACAGTGACGCTATACCTATGGTCACGGTAGTGTTGTGTTTAATAGAATCATTATAACATGTGCTCAAAACCCTTGGTTCGGACAGTGGCCCTCGGGCTGCTTCCAGGGACCCGCTTGGCTCACAGCTGCCCACACTGTCACCAACGATGCATGTCCTCCTGCGGGAGCCTCACACTCCTTGGTGGTCAGCAGGGGGTGTGCGGACAGCACACAGCGGGCACCCACTTGCCCACCTGTCTCCTCTGTAGTCTTTCCACATGGTGTTCACGTGTGATAGAAGACGAATGAAGGGCCCGGCTGGTGTGGCTCAGTGGTTGAGCGTCAACCCTGCACCAAGAGGTCGCCGGTTCGATTCCCGGTCAGGGCACATGCCCAGGGTGTGGGCCCGATCCCCAGTGGGGGGCGTGCAGGAGGCGGCCAGTCGATGTTCCCTCTCATCCATGTTTCCATCTCTCTCTCTAAAATCAATAAAGGAAAAACAAACAAACAAACCAGAGGAAAGAGATCACGTTAACGGTGGTCGAGTTTGGTGCCCTGGACGGCCCGAGAGCTGGGAAGTCCAGGCCCCGAGGGGTCTGCGGCTGCTCACTCCATGTCTCTGGGGAACTGCTGCTGTCACACGGACACTGGCTTCCTCCCCTCCGCCCGGCGCCTCCCTGCTGCGGACACTCACGGGGCACCAACGTGCTCCCTCCAGCCACCGTCTGCCCTGCCTGCGCCGTGGGCTGGGACTGGGCCAGTCGGAAAGGCCACTTCAACCCCGTGTCATCGTTCAGGCCCAGGGCCGCGCTCCCCTGCGTCTCGGGGCCGAGGGTGCTGTGATCCGCGGCAGCCTGCTCCTTCCACCCAGAGACCGCGGAGAATACCGAGAGTGGAGTGAGTGCGTGCTTAGGATCTTTGTTTCTAACTCACATCTGTGTGTTCTGATGTGGACAGACCGCAGGGTTCACCAGAAGTGTGGGCGCCCTTGTGATGAGCACTGCGCTCGGAGCTGCGGACCACACACCGCAGCGCCCCTGGGTTTAAGTTTAGCCACAGACTCGGTCACTTGGTGGCTTTTCTGGAACCCAAGGAAGTTTTTGGTTTTGCCTAGTAAAAAGTTTTTGGTTTCAGTGTAAAAGTCTGGCCTCTGGCCCTGGCCAGTGGCTCAGTGATTAGAGCATTGGCCCCACCGGCCAGGGTTGCGGGTTTGATTCCTGTCAAGGGCAGGTACCCCGGCTTTGGTTTGATCCCTGGCCCTGGTCGTGCAGGAGGCAACCAGTAGCTGTGTTTCTCAGATGTTTCTCTCCCTCTCCCTCCTCTTTTCCCTCCCTCCCTCCCTCCCACTCTATCTGAAAATCGATGGAAAAATGTCCTTCGGTGTGGAATTAAAAAAAATAATCTGCCTTTAGTTTGGCCCCGAGGCCAGACTTGTTTTATATTTAAAACAAAGAGTGCATAACGATTCTTTCTGATACTCCAGCCTCGTGGAGTGCGGAGAGGTCTCTGAGGCGAGGGGTGCCCCTCTGTCCTTGCCGGGCCTCTGGGTCTCTCCTGCCTGCTGGCCGGGCCCTCGCTGTGCACTAGAGGGCGCTGGAGGCTGGGAGCTGCAGCCTCTCCTGCCTGCAGCCGGCGCTCCCTGGGGCTGTGGGCCTCAGTGGGCCTGTGCTCCCCGGATTAGGATCGCGGATGAAGACCGGTTAACCGCTTCCTTGGTGGGAAGTGTTGGGAAAGTCATCAACTGTTTAGGATGATTCTGCAAAATGTTTTACGGAGGCTTTTTTGGGCATGTACGTTCTTCAGAGCTGACGGTGTTGGACACGAGCTCGAGCCGCCAGCCTCGGCATCGCAGACTGGACGCCGGCCGCGCCCTTTCCTGCTGGGAAATGTCCGTTCCCGCCCCGTCCCGAGGGCTCGTGCTTCCCCTCTCTGGGCCGGAGGTGCAGGACGACATGAAAGTCACCCCTCTCTGTTTCAGGGGATCCGAGCCCGAATCCTAGAGACGCTCGTCATGCTCGTGCTCCTGGCGCTGCTGACGCTCGGGATGGTGTGGGTCGCCTCAGCGCTCATCGACCAGGACGCGGCCAGCACGGAGTCTCTGTACGGTAGGTGGCTGGGCGGCCGCGCTCACCCCCTGGAACCCTGTCCCAGGCTCACCTTCCAGACCCCAGCAGGTCTTCCCTCGAGCCTGTTGATGCGCGGAGTTAAGACGCTTAGACGCGTCTAGGGAAGAAGCGAGTGTGTGCCGGCACGTGAGCCGCTTCTCAGAGTGGTTCTTTTTGTTGTTAATTGGTTTCTGTTCTGAAAATTCCATGCAGGATTTTTTCCCCCCTCTCCCTCCAAACAAGTTTTGCAAAGGGGTTATTTCCTGTTCTTCTATTTTAGATCTTTTTATTATACTGTTTAGAAATCATATGGTTCGGTAGATTCAGGGAATTTTGATGTTTACTGTACATTAGTTGATAGTCAGCCCTTGTTTTAATGTGCAGGGTTTCGGATTTACTGAAATACATTTATGTTTCCTATAGATCTCTGGGAGTTCTACCTGCCCTACTTATACTCCTGTATATCACTGATGGGATGTTTGTTACTTCTCTGTAAGTATGTTTCTGACTTCAGATTGAGTGGAAAAGAGTTGTTTGGTGTTCTACAAAATCACGGGGAATTTCCCTGATGACAGTCCTTCACAGCTTGGAGAGTTTTAAAACGTTGCTCCTTAACTTCATTTTATGTTCAAGATAAATTTTGATAAACAGAAACCTTGAGATAATAAGACACTTGTGTAGTTCTCCAAGAAAAGCCTCCTCCACGGGGCTGGGGGGCAAGGTGTGGGGGGAGGGAGGAGATGCATGCAGGGGTGCACACACATGCAGACACACATATGCATGCAGACATACACGCACAGACACACATGAACACACACACATACACACATTTACACAGACCTGCACACACACACATACAGACACACATGCACACCGACATGCACACACAGACACATGCACACAGACACGCACACACAGACACACATGCACACAGACATGCACACACAGACACACATGCACACAGACATGCACACACAGACACACACAGACACACATGCACACAGACATGCACACACAGACATGCATACACAGACACATATACACAGACATGCACATACAGACACATGCACACAGACATGCACACACAGACATGCACACACAGACACACACATAGACACACACACAGACACACATGCACACAGACACACATGCACACAGACATGCACACACACTGCCCTGCCATTACAGCACTAGAGTCTACTTTTGAATGGTAATGATAGAACTGTGTGTGATGACTTTGTGGCCTTTATTTCAAAGTTTGCCTAGTTTTACCTAAGATGTGACAACATGTCTCAGGGATATTATACACATAAATGTTGTCAGAAGGATTTAGGGTTATAGTTGTCACGTTCAGATATTCTCGTCTGCTTCTCGGTTTCATTTGTGCTTGAAATTCAATCTCTTCCTCAGTTGGTTTTCTTTAACTTTGTCTGAGTGGAGACACTGTCATCCTTCAGCTGCTGGAGGATTGTGTGTCCCCAGCCTTTAGCTGTCAGCTGTCCTTCATGAAGCACAGGAAGGCGTCCCCTCCAGCCCCCTGTTGACGAGGCTGAGGGGCCCTCCGACGACACCGAGGGCGTCTGAAGCTGAGACAGAACCTCCCTAAAGTTAGAGTCCGAGCTAGCTGCTCCGCGGCCTGGCGGTGCCCGTGCGCGCACTCTGAGGTGACGTGGTCTGTCGCCCTCTCTCTCCGCAGTGTGCACCCCGGTCGGCCTGTCCCGCATGTTCACCGTCATGGGCCAGCTGCTGGTGAAGCCGGCGGTGAGTACGGCTGGGCCTTGTTCAGGAAGGGCTGTGTGGCAGCGGTGAGTACGGCTGGGCCTTGTGCAGGAAGGGCTGTGTGGCAGCGGTGAGTACGGCTGGGCCTTGTTCAGGAAGGGCTGTGTGGCAGCGGTGAGTACGGCTGGGCCTTGTTCAGGAAGGGCTGTGTGGCAGCGGTGAGTACGGCTGGGCCTTGTGCAGGAAGTGACTGTGTGGCAGCCGCAGCTCTCGGCTGTGAACTGGACTCAGAAACTGAAGAGCATCTTTGTGGGTTGATGACCCAAACTGTTGTTGTTGGTTTTATTTTCATCTTTTTTAGTTTCGGAAACCACATTGGTTTTTGCTTTTAAAATACTATAGGCACTCAGGTAAAAATTCTATAGCAGGTTTTAACACAAGGTTTACAGAAATGTACAGGTGTTTTAGATGTTGGCTACCTTATATCAAACAGTAAGTATCATGTTGCAAAATTTACCACAAGCGCTTTGATTTATACAGCAGTTACGTTTCGGAAAATCCGTCTGCATATTAGATCTTGTCCCTTTAATCTCGGAAGTGCCAGCTGTCCGTGTGCAAATGACTTTCAGTAGCTGTAAGTCTAGTGATTGGTCCCTAAGTTTCTTTGGCCTCTAGGTATTTTGTCAAATATTTCATAATATGAAAACAGTTCTTTGCTGTATCTAGGAAATTTATGACTCAACTTACTTTCATGGATCTTCACCCCTTACAAACTCGAGTCCAAACTGCTAACATGTTACAGGACCTTCCCCAATCTGCCAGCACCCGAGTTCACCTGTAGCTGCGTCCCCACCCCCCCCCTCCCGCAGCTGCCTCTGCTCCTGGGCTCAGCCGACCTGCTGTGCTCAGGGTGGGCGGGTCCCGCTGTCTGGCCCTCACCTGTCCACCCGGCGGCCTCCTCAAGGCCTGGTCTCCGCGGCCTCCTCCTCCCGGCCCTGAACACGTCCTCACTTCTTTAAGCTGAATAATTGCGCTCGTTGTTCAGCGCGTCTCCTGCTCGTCTTCGTGTTTCACTAGCTGTCGTTCTCACATCTTCACGGCTGTAGCTTGTTCTCCTTCGGGGAGAACGGAGGGAATAGACATTCTTTCAGTAAATGCTTGACTCCGAAAGCCTTTTGAAAAGCAAACGGCAGTGTCTTCGTATCTCCTTTGAAATAAAACCGGACTTCATATGTGCTCCCTAAACGCACGCCCCCTCCATGCCGGGCACATGCCGGGCACATGCGTCCGCCCTGAATGCCACGCCCCCTGGGGCAGGTGGTGATGCCCACGCTCGGGTCCTTCCGGTCTCTGGTCTGCTGATTCCTTCGGCCTCTTTCTCCATTTCTATGTCCTGGCCCTGCATAGAGGCAGAGATGTCAGGCTCTGCGCGTGGTCTCAGCGGCTATGCTCTGCCCTCCTGGCCACCTCTGCCGTGTCCCCACCCCTCTGTGGGGGCAAACTACAGGACACTTGCCATGTGTGATTGGAGACCCGCAGTGCGAACTCAGCACAGAACACCGAACCCTCCTTCCCTGCCTCGCTCAGCCAGCTGTCCTCCCAGCCTGACTGACCGCACCTGAAAATGGTCCTGATCTTTGTCCCTGTCCTTGTTCCTAGTCTCCACTGGGAATGGTCTCTGCTGAGTAACTGAGGGTGTGTTGTGTGCTTGCGATGAGTACAGCCGTCCCTCGTTCACCGCGGTTAATCCGTTCCAGACTCGAGCGGTTGCACCTGGCGCTGAAGGACCCCCGGGTGCTCGAATACGCAGGCCCACGTCCATACGGACAGTGATTTTAGTTGTTATTGTAACACAGGGTGTATAATTGACTCAGACAACCGAGGCGCACTGTATCGTTTTCACTGTCTTGATCAACTTTTTAATGAATATAGTTGAGAAAACGGCGATAGAGTGAAGCGTGGAAGTCGAAGCGCGAGGTGGCAGGGACGACTGTGCGTGACTGCGTTCCCGAGGGCCCACCCCGCGCTCCCGTTCCCACCCTTGTTGAAGGTCACAGGCGGGGCAGGGCGGGGCAGGGCGGGGCGGGTGGGAGCCTGGGCTCTGGACCTCCTGGGTGTGCGGGGAGCTCCAGGGCCATCCACCCCCTTCAGCACCTGCTCCCTGCTGGGCGTGGGGTAGTTTCTGAGGCATCTCTGACTGGTCGGTGACGCAGCGTCAGCCGTACCTGCCGAGACCTTTCCTGCCCCACTAGAAGCTGGGGTCTCACTTTCTCTGACCTTTGTTACGACGGTTACTCAGATCCTGTCCTGGACGCCGGGCCACTGCCGTGGGAGGTCAGGGGCAATGTCCGGCCCAGCGCTAGGTCCCACCCTTCAGAATGGGTGAGGAGTAGGCTCTGAAGGCAGATGACTGCTCTCTGCCAGATCGCCGTTTCTCGGTGAGTGTGAGGTGGGCGATAGCTGGGGCAGGATCGGGCCGGTGCAGGCGGCAGCGCCATGCGGGGCGCCCCGCAGGCCGGCGCTGGCCGTGTGGGAAGCACGTGCAGGTCCGAGGCTGCGGCGGCTCCACGACCTCGGTTCCGCCAGCTCACCCCTGGAAGCGCACTCTCGCCCCCGGATGCTGCTCGTTGTCACTCACCAGCACCCCAGCCGCAGCTCGCACCGTGCGAGGGGATCCTTCGAGCGCGAGGCCTTCCCAGAAGTACAGACGGCCACTCGTGGTCCAGACAGGAGGCAGAAGGGCCGGTCCCTGGGCCTCGGAGGCTGTCCCGGGTCACCCTGTCCCGGCCTGGGGGGCTCTTTCTGCGCCGCCCCCACTCACAGGACGCGAATCTTCGTAGTTACTGACACTCACCATCTGTTCCTGTTTGTCACGAGTCCCAGGCCGAGGGAGAGGGTCAGTGTTCACAGGGAGCCTGGGCATTACTGGGTCGCTGTCCATCAGCCTCCTGTACAGCCCGCAGACGGGTGCGTGGTCGGGCACTCGGCAGGGCGGGCAGGCCAGCCGCCTCCACCCTGTGTCGTCCGCGCTCCTCACGGTCTTGCGTGGCCGGGTTCGAGTGACACAGAACACTGACAGCCGCTCCGGGTTTCCCGAGCGTCTCCCAGCGCCGGGACACACTTAGATCATCGCCAGGCCGTGTCAGCCCAGCTGCAAGAGACCGGTTCGGGCGGGCTTCCCGAGACAGTGCGGGAGCACCCACGTGACTGGTTATTGATCAGTGGTTTCGCTTGTTGTCCCTTCCGCGGCCATGTGGCATGACAGCGGAGCACACGTCAGCCGCCGCTTCTCCGGGGTCTGTGTCCGCAGGGCGGCTCCAGTGACACCGGTGGTGGGTGTTTGCGGGACGGCGTTAGAGGGTAAGGACGGCGTTAGAGGGTAAGGAGGGCGTCAGGGGAGAGGGCCGACTGCTGGTGACTCAGCCCGTGGAGTTCTTGTTTTAAACTTGATGTGGAGAAATAAAGATGAGAAACGGCTGCTGGGCTGGGTGACGTCCCTCCACGTCCGACATGAGCCGGGCATGAAGAGCTGCCCTGTGTCCAGCTTCCCGGCTGTTCAGAATGGACCCATTTGTGTTCCACGTCTGGAGTCATTGAATCCTTTACACTTAAAAAAATATCTAATTCAAACATGTGTAGATTTTGTGGTAATGAGCTGTTGATGTGCTTAGTTAGATACTGAGATGTTTTAACTTACTATTTAAATCAAGTTGTTGGAGCATTTTAATGTTAGGTTCTTAGTCATTTGCGTGGACGCGTCAGCCACGAGGCAGGTAGCCTCCGTGTTCTCGTAAGCGATCGCTCCGGGTGTTGCCTCATTCAACAGCTTGATCTCTGGATTTAGATTCTCGAAGACCTGGATGAGCAGATTTACGTGATCACGCTGGAGGAGGAAGCGCTGCACAGACGGCTGAACGGTACGTGTTCTTACACATCCAGGCCGGAGGACGTGGTACTGTATTCAGGGAAGACGGGTGGTTGGGGGGACACGGCTTCTTGGCACCCTGTCGTGCCACGTGGGGTCGAGGCTCAGTCTCGTGAGCTTCGGCCGAGGAAAGGTTGGCTGACGACCGGTGGCGTTTTGGCCAAGTTCCTGTTTCCTTGCCTGATGAGCTGTGACTGAGCAAGGTCAGCTCAGCTCCGAGGCCCTGGCCCCCGCGCTGTGCCCACAGCCCGTCCTCGCGTGGGGAGCGTGGGGACTCCAGCTGCTGCGGGTGCAGAGCGGGGCCCAGTGATGGTCACGTCCCGTGTCGTTTCTCTCCTGCGGGCCCTTCGGGGTAACAGGAGGGTGCTTCTTGGACACGAGGTGCTGAGTGTGACTGAGCTGTGCTTGGGGACCCCGCGGGCTGTGGGGGGCTGCTCCTTGTCAGCGGACAACCGGGTAGGCACGGCACAGGCCTTGAAATTCAGTTTCTAATTGCTGATGACTTTGGGCTTTAAATGAAGAGCCAATGGAGAAAAGAGTAATGGCAGAGTAGAAAGGACATAGTTTGTTCTGATTTTACTAGACGGTTTTCACCCTCTGCGCTTCCTCCCGCAAAATATTTTTTAATATTGAAAACCTGCCACCAAGATCAGATTATGGATAACTAACCGGATTTCGGAATCTTAATCCAAGAGCAGGTATAAAGTGGAAGGTTGCTTTAAGTGTGAAGTACTGAGGACCAGGAAGAGACACACCTGCTTCACGTAACCGCCGGCAGTGAGTTCATGTCCCCACCTACGGGTGCTGGTGTCACAGAGCTTTGTCTCGGGCGAAAGCGTTTCGGGTCGTGTCTCTTCTGGAGAACTCTTGTCAGTAACTGTACATTTCCATACCAATAACTTCAGACTGGAACTGCTTTTACCTTTTATCCTTCTAACTCTATTGAAGCTACTTTAAGATTTAAGCCTATTTAATTCCAGAATTATAACTTCAAGCAGTACCGTCAGCTTTATGACATTTCGTTAAAGTGGCGAATACGATGGTGAGTTCGTCTTACTTAGATAATCAGGCTGCCGTGCAGTGACCCCGCCGGAATGTAAGGAACAGATGTCTGAGGTCTGCGCCATTCGAACCTGCGGCCGGAGGCTAGCGCCCGGGAGGGTGCACGCAGTGCTCCGTGATGAAAGGATTTGAGTCAGGTGTAGTGAAAACCCAACCAAGCCAAACCCGTAGTCTTTTCTCATTTTGCCCTTCGGTTGCCTCCCGGAGGACCCAACTGGGGCCAGGGACGGAACCTGCAATCCAGGTACACGCCCTTGACCAGAATCGAACCGGTGACCCTTTGGTCTGTGGGCTGCACTCTAACCTCTGAGCCAAACCGGCCGGGGCCACTGCGGTGTGTTTGCTGTTCGCTGCAGGCGGACTGTTCCGGGTGGAAACAGGCTGTAACGGGAACGGTCCCAGGGCAGAGTGGACACGGGGCGACGGACACGGCGTTGGGAGCCTCAGTGTGCTGTCCGTGCGCCGAGAACACCGACGTGCAGTCCTTTACAGTCCGCTGTCACGAGGGAATGTAGCGACAGGGTCAGTGACGAAATCATCCCCGTGGATTTTATGTAATCGAGTGTTATGTGGAATGTGTTATAAGTTACATTTTAAAAAACTGAAGTTTTAACTTTTTTACTCTGGGCTATAAAAACAACTGTGGTATGATCAGAGTAAAAAATGTCTAAAAAAATGACGCAGATGACAGCAGCCACCCCCCTAGCGTGCAGGGCGGTGCCGTGCCGATGGCCCTGAGCCTCGTGGGCGTCTCGGGACGTCTGTGCGGTTCGCTCTGAGCCCAGCTCTCCCGCGATCTGAACACACTTGATACTTAGTATCAACACGTGCTTCACTGCAGGGCTAGCTCCGCATTTTCCTGGAAGATACTGTGGCTTGTTTGGGGAGTTGTCACATCACTGGAGTTGAATTTCACGCGGCTTTTCCAGTCTGCATGGCTTCGCTGGCCTGGGGCGGCCTCTCCATTGTTCCTTTGTGACACGTGCTGGTACCAGGGGTTCTGTTCTTGTCAATAGTGTCCTCACTTCATGGACGCGTTAGTGGGATAGAGCTGAGCGTGCGCTTTGTCAGTCGTCGTCCCAAAGAAGCCGCCCGCTACCGCCCACTCCGCGCTCCCCACTTTTTCTGGTCACTGCGTGTCTGGCTCTGAGCCGGTCGGTGCCGGTGGACTCAGACTGTCTCAAGCTCATGGGCTCGTTGACAGAAGAGGAGAGAAAAAGGGTGAGGATCTGCGAGACTCGATCCAGCGCGGAGGCCCTTTAGGAAGGCATCGCGGGGAAGTCGTGTTCCCAGAACAGGAGGCCCGGCCATCTGGTGAGACAGCCCTCCCTGGTGTCCCCATCGTCATGGCAGCGTGGGGACCTGTCCCCAGAGCTCGCTGCCTCCTGGCAGGGCCCCTGCTCCTCCCCCCGCAGCCCGCCCACCGCTCCAGCCAGCCCGCTGCTCCAGCCCACTTCCTGTGGGCCCACCGCCTGCGTCGCTCAGCATCGAGCTACCACGTCCTTCCAGGGGCCCTGCGCACACGCTGGCCGCCTCTCCCGCAGCCGCCCTGCGGGTGTCCTGAGTGCCGTGTCCTCGCCGCTTTCTGTGCCGACACCCACCTTCGCCCTGGAACAGGCAGAGGTTCCCGCCCTGCCCCCCGTCCTGCGACCAGCCAGGCAGAGCAGGTGACGGCGTGTGGCGGGTGGTCGTCTGACACGGAAGCGAAGGAGGAAGATGCAGGTGTGAAGAGAGCATGGAAGCCTCTGGGGACAGTGTCCGGGTCGCCCCCAGCAGAGGCCCCTGAGGACAGCTGGGCTCAAGGGGTGCTCCCCAGGAAGCAGAATAAGGGGACTTTCCCGTCGTGAAGCCGAGAAACGAGCAGTCAAGATCCCTTCTCCTCCAAGACCCTGGAGAGGAGCCCAAGGGAGCTCCCAGGACATTGGTTGTGGTGGGAAGTTCTTTGTACTTCCTGCCCCGACCAGAAGACGCATTTCATTAGCATGTTAAACATCGGCAATGCAGAGGCATTAATGGAAATAATTAGCTCGTGTGTGTAGCCTATGGGGGTGCGGGCTAACTTAGAAGTACCATAATGAGTAGGAATTAGTTTTTGTTGTTTCAGTTCAAAACCTTCACAGTTCTTTTAATGTAATTTATTTAAAAATACTGTCAGCTTTGAACTGATGGATTCAATGCGGTTTTGTTAGGTACTATTTTTACCTTCACGATAAAAAGTTAGTGTATCCCGTTGGGTAGCAATTACCCTCCTGCTTGATCCGAATCTTCTCTTCAAGCCTTGTTCCCCGGAACTGGATCGCTTCTCTGTCCTGCAGGGCGCACAAGGTGCTTCTGTGTGTTTCCGCAGTGTCAGGCTGCCACCTTTGTATTCTGAAAAATAAAGGATTTAAAAAAACCCACACGCCGACCTTTCAGGGAACTTGGTGAGCTGCGGAGCATTCTGTCCCCACGGTCCTCGTCTTGCTGGTCACAGCGAAGTCGGATTTGCCGGGCGGTTCTAGGATGACGTCGAGGCTTTGGGGGGCCTCACCGTCTTCATGGACAAGACGTTGGCTAATCCGGCCGTCAGCTGACGTCTTTGGGCCGACACCCTGAGCGATACGAAGAAACTGAGGTCGGATTTCATCTTCTGGCCCCGCCTCACTTTCCCGGGGCTGTCTGTTATTTCTTCTGCAGTCCGGCCGTGGTGACCCTAACGCTGTCTGCTGGTGGTTGTACCACCGGAGTGGACGCGATCACGGGTGTCAGATTCCGGGCCACCTCGAGCGAGGTTTGGGTTTAGACAGGCGGAGGGTGCTGGCGTCAGCCTCACCGAGAACACACAGCAAGGATTGTTGACGGTGAAGGACCCCTTCTTTGGCAACACTACGCTGGAAGAAAGTATTTAGTAATATCTCGACTTCCTGAGCTAACAGAAAAGAATATTAGTTCTACCGGTAATACCAATTAAGTGGTTTCTTTCTAATAAGATATCAACATTTGGGTCCAAGGGTCTGAAACAGTTACAATTCATTCAGCTTTTTGGGTCACATGGTCACTTTCTAGACAATGAAATGTGGCCCAAACAGATGGTTTGTTGCAGGATGAGACGATGTGGCCGAAGAGATGTTCACTAAAGTGTAATATCAGTAGAGGGAAAGCACTTTGGAATAACAAACTATAAAATAATTTTGAGTCATGTATCATTTAGTCTCTGACATTTAGAGACAGTGTGCTCTAGGTAATTGGTCCAAATGTCTTAGCAGAAGATGCTTTTCATGCACACAAGCCACCGCTCAACCACAGCCTGTTTGGACAGTGGTATTGTCAACAGTAACATGTATCAGTATCCAAAGTTTGAAACATAATCCGGGGTCCGATCTACCAGTAACATAACTCAAGTAGAAAAAAAATGCCAAACTGCTACTTTTTTTTTTTAATCCTCACCCGAGGACATTTTCCCATTTTTTTGTTCAGGTAGAGTGGGAGGGAGAGAGAGGAACAGAGAGAGAGAGAGAAACATCGATGTGAAAGGGACACATCGAGTGGCTGCCACCCGCACGACCAACCAGGGCCGGGGACAAACTGCAACCGAGGTACATGCCCTTAGCGGGAACCGAACCCGGGTCTCTCGGGACCGCAGGTCGACGCTCTAACCGCTGAGCCAAACCGGCCAGGGCCCAAACTGCTACTTGAAGGGCACATGGCTTGTGGGTGCTCCTGAAGTCGACTGTTGACTGTTTTCTATCTTGCTTGTCGTCATTTATAGTGAAAGTATACCTGCGTTTTCAGAATCGTGTTGGGTATCGCAAGCTTCCCTCCTCGGCTCTGCACTCAGCCACGTTTGTGCCTGTGTCAGGAGTGAATAGAAACTCTTATTGTCGCAAGTGTCAGCATCGCACGTGGATTAGACCGAGAACTCGTGCTTTGAGTGGATGGGTTGTCTGTCTCCTCGGTGAGCCCTGTCTCCTCAGTGTCTGTGTGTCCCGCTGACAGGTGGGTTTGTGGGCTGGGCTCCGGTTCCGCAAGCTGTCTGGGGTCTGCCTCCTCCGCTGGGCTCTGCGCCGGGCAGGTCTGGATGCTGCCCGGGAGTAGGGACTTCACTGTGGGCTACTAGTGGTCTCGGGATTAAACAGCATCGCTTGCCTGAGCAATGCCAAGTGATTGCAAGGACTTGAAGGACCTCACATATTGGCGATAGAGGTCACCTTGGTCCGTTTAAAGCTAAGCATAAAATTTCAAGGAGTTATTACTTAGATAACAGGTTTTCTAATCAACTTTTTTGGGGGGGAGTTATTTGCTAAAATGTTAAATGAGAAAATAATTTGTTTATACTGAAGGTGTCTAGTTCCAAATAGTATTCATTATGAAACAAGTTTAGGGTGCTTTGTGGTTTAGGGTGCTGCGTGGTTTAGGGAGATCTTTCGGTTTCAGGGTTTTGAATCGTCTACATAGCAGATTGGAGGCTTGTATTTGTTTTAAGAAATGCAACATTGTATATTTTAAATTAAACAGTGTCTGCCCTTGAACAGATGAATGCCAGTTGGGGCTGTCTTTGTATTAAGAAAAACTGTAAGGACAGATCAGTGATGAAAGAAGTGCTGGACTTTGGGAAATTCTGTTATCTTGGAAGGAAAATATCAAAACATTTTCAATAGCGCACTGGTTTTTCAGCTTAAGAGTAAAGCTGGGAAAAGTTGCCTACAGCTATTAGTTTTCCTGAATCCAAAGAGACGGGTGGGGCAGGATCAAAAATACTTATTTGATCAAAGTTATTGGCTCTGAAGTCATCCCTACCGATGTAAGGAAGATGAAAGGTATTGTTTTTATTGCACACTGGTAACAGTGTAATTTTGAACTAATTGGCGTTGAACTGCCAATCACCTGGGGGAATGCAAATAGATACTCTTACAGTTCCCTTTGAGGTAGGGAGACCTTCTGTGGAGGCTGGAAGGAAAACAGAATAATACCGTTAAATTGACCTTAAGTGAGCTGCCTGTGGTTGTCTTGGAGAATCCCTTTTTATTTTTCCTGACTAGTCCAAACAGGTTTTGTCTACCAATTTGACTTATTGACTAGACGATGCTGACGGTGAACGTTTGGATTCGTTTTGAAATGAAGTGGTGATAATACAGTTCTGCAGGACAAGCCCGTGTGACATTCCAGGGCTCCTTTGCGGTTGCCATGGCCCGTCCCCCTGGCCATCGGAGCCTCTGTCGCTCACAGTGGTGCATTCTGCCTAAGACGAGGCTCACCGTTCTCACGTAGGTGAGCTGTGTACAGTCAAGGTGGGAATGGATCCGAATGTGTTACTCCAGATGAATCTAGCCGTTTAGTAAAAGCAGGGTTTCTTTGAGCACAGTGAGAATGCTTTCTTGATTTTCACATGCAAGTCAGTATTTATTAACCACCTACTGTGTGCCTCGAAGGTGTTGCCCCAAACAAGCTCACAGCGTTTCAGGAACACTGCTTTCGTCCTTTCCCTCTGAAACGTAGTGCATTGGGTGGTCTGGCATCAGAACTGAAGTTTGTCTCTTTTCTTAATTTTAAAGGGGCAGCAGCAGTGCAGTCTGTTCTGCAAGCCCGGCCCTCGTCCGGATTCTGGACACTCAGCGGATGGTTTTCTGTAACCCCGAACTGGCTGCTGGGATGACCCTTCTTCACCAGTGTCGGGAGGGGATGTGTCTGTGATTACTCAGAGATGTTTTTATTGCACTTTATTTTTTAAGAACAAATTTCCCCATCTTTTAAACAATTTTGTTTATTTTATTTTATTTTATTTTTTAGTGAGAGGGAGAGGGGGAGAGAGAGAGAGAGAGAGAGAAACATTGATGAGAAAGAACATTGACTGGCCACCTCCTGCATGCCCCCTACTGGGGATCCAGCCCATAACCTGGGCATGTGCCCTGACCGGGAATCGAACCGGCGACCTCTTGGTGCAGGGTCGATGCTCAACCACTGAGCCACACCGGCCGGGCGCAGATGGAGATGTTAAATGAGCATCGACTGCAGACACACACCGTGTAATGTAGGAAGGCTGGGATCAAAAGCACGGTGCACCTGCCCCAGGACTACTGTATTCAGGGACACTCAAAAGCCCCTCCCTCTGTGGCCACCGTCAGCCTCCTTGTTGCACAGAAACGTCCATTAACCTTGTAACTTAATTCTCCCCTTTGCTTCGGTACTAGAAACTCTGAACCAAATCTGTAGCAGATGGAGTCGTTCTGGGACACCCTACCCGAGTATCTCGGTACTATCGTCACCCCCTTTTGCTTATGCGTTCTGTGTTGACAAGTTAAGTGATTAAACTCCTGAGTTCTGGGAATACTGTGTAGCACCCCAGGGCGTTCAAGACCTCAGGTCCTCCAGCAGGAGGGGTGGGCTCTCAGTGCGCAGCTCTCCTGGGACCTGGGTCGGGCTGTGGGCTCCAGAAAGAGACCCCAAGTCCCTAGTGCGCTCGAGCCTGCTGCCTGCGTGGTGGGCGGGGCTGACTCCGTCTTCAGCCTCCCCTTTGGGAAGGAGCCGCAGCACCTTGAGAGACCCCACAGCACGGAGGCTCCGTCCTCCCGAGTCTGCGTTTCTGTCCAGTCCGTCCCCTGTCCCCAAGAACAGAAATTGTTGGGCCCTCCCGATGGTTTGTCCCTGTCTGGGCCCGTGTGACCTGACCAGTGTGAGGGAGTAGTGGCCGTGGGCGAGGAGAGGCTCACTCACTGGAGGCGCTCCATCCCCCGGGAGCCCCTTTTCTGTCTCCACACCCCAGAGTCTGTTCCAGGGCTCCTGACCAGGGAACTCCAGCGGGTAAAGGTTGACCCTCGAAGTGGCTGTAACTGGAATCCTTCCTTCTGTGTAAGCACACGGGCAGGTGAGGACGCAGAGGAAGCGGGACTTGAGGGCCACGAAGCAGCCTCACGTTGAAAAGCGTGGACCCCAAAGAGGGTCCTTACGCACCGGTACGAGGCGCCACTCGTGAGGAAGTGTACAGCCTTCAAGGGACCAGGGAAGAAGTGAAGACCAACGCAAACACGGCCTGAAAGCCGAAAGTGGGGACAGCACAGTCGGGGTGGGGATCGCGGTGTCCCGTCGGCATCCGGAGAGGACGCGGAGCCACACGGACCCCTAGACGCAGGCAGGAGACGCGGGCAGGGAGATCCGTGCGCTGGGTGAACATGAAAAGGTGCTCGACCACAGTCAGGGACGCGTGTGTCGGGATAACAGTAAGGAGATGTTTACAAATCAGATTGTAAGCTTCGGGGTGACGACACCCAGCGGCGGGGAAGAGACCGGAAACCAGGAGCTGTGAACGCTGCGGTGCCAGCGTGAATCACGGGACAGTTTAAGCCAGCACAGTAAGTCGTAATATTTGGGGGCAGCAGCCTTGAAGTGCCCGCAGCAGCCAGCGTTCACGCCCTGTGCCGCAGGGCTGAGTCCTGGGAATCGGCCTCCAGCAACGGTAGAGCCAGGCACTGGGTGTGCACGTCGAGGTGTGTGCTGCAGCGCGGTCTGCGGCAGAGTCGGAATAATGTTCACTAAACTGAAGTATGTCCACACTCTGGAATATGCTTCTTTTTTATTCCCCATTCGAGGGTATTTTCCTACTTATTATCAGATGGAGTGGGAGGAAGGGACAGACAGAAACATCAATGTGAGAGAGCCACATCGACCAGTTGCCTCCCTCATGATCCGACCAGGGCTGGGGACGAACCGCAACCGAGGCATGTGCCCTTGACCGGAATCGAACCCGCAACTCATTGGTCCACGGGCCGATGCTCTAACTGCTGACCCAACCGGTCAGGGCTGGAATATCATGTAGTTGTTGAGGGCTCGTCCCCGTCAGTATGGACACATCGCTGGCTGGGAAAGCAAGTGGTGAAATAATGCGTCCGGGCCCTGGCAGTTTGGCTCAGCGGTTAGAGCGTCGGCCTGCGGACCAGAGAGACCCAGGTTCGGTTCCCGCTAGGGGCATGTACCTCGGTTGCAGTTTGTCCCCAGCCCTGGTTGGGTCGTGCGGGTGGTGACCACTCGATGTGTCCCTTTCACGTCGATGTTTCTCTCTCTCTCTGTCTCTCTCTCTCTCCCACTCTATCTGAACAAAAATTGGAAAAAAATGTCCTTGGGTGAGGATAAAAAAAAAAAAAAATAATGCGTCCGATTTGACCCATTCTTATAAAATATGGAATGAAAACCACATGTGAGATGCATGTGAACATACGAATACGAACCGGGATCTGGAGGGAGGTGTGGAGAAACCACTGAGTGAACCGGGACCTGGAGGGAGGTGTGGAGAACCCACTGAGCTGCTGCCCGTCGTTGCCGTGGGAAGGTGGGTGGAGACGAGAGCTTGGCTTTCTTTTACTTTATAATAAGCACATAATAGTTTTATAAAAAATGAATAACAGATCAAGTAAGAATTTTACCAAAGTAATACAATTTCTAGTGTTTAATCAGCAAGAACCTGGAAGTTTGAAGTGGTAAAAAAATGGGTGTCTGCCCGGCCAGTGCGGTTCAGTGACTGAGCGTCGACCCTGCACCAGGAGGTCGCCGGTTCGATTCCCGGTCAGGGCACAGGCCCAAGTTGTGGGCCGACCCCCAGTGGGGGCGTGCAGGAGGCAGCCAGTCGGTGTTCTCGCTCAACGATGTTTCTCTCTCTCTCTCCCCCTCTCCCTTCCTCTCTCTCTAAAATCAATAAAGGAAAAAATAAAAAAAAATGGATGTCCTTTTCTGTGAATCACACACCATCTGTTCTCATTCTCTATGATCAGGTGCTATTTTTATATTTTAGTTAAGTGTGAGGGCCACCTGTTCTATACTCATAGGGGTTCTGTTGTTATACTGCTAAAATATTTTTGTTTTCGACAGGACTATCTTCCACAGTGGAATACAATGTAATGGAGTTGGAACAAGAACTTGAAAATGTAAAGACTCTCAAGACAAAATTAGGTACATTTTTTTCCCCCTTGACTTGTGTATTGGTGTTGGTTTCTTATTAAAGACTTTCCTGTAGTCTAAAATGTTCATGAAAGTATGAACTTGGTTTATGTTCATGTTTTCAGTCTGCCCACAGCCAGAGTTAGCTTGGGGAGAGGATAGGCATGTATTGACTCCTTTCGTTGTTTGTTTCGTACATGCACAGAACAAATCCTCAAAACACGGTGATGTTGAAAGGTGGTGCCCCATTGCCCTTTCGGTGGTATTATCCCTGACAAGTAGTCATCTGTCGTCCTCACCGCTCACCGTGCCTGTATCGTCTTTCAGATCTCCTCTTTATCATCGATTTAGCACAATATTATTGTGATGTGCCTTTGAGTAATTTTACTTCTGTTTCTTGTCCTTTGGGTTCATTGATTTTTTTTTTTTTAAACCGGACAATTTGTAGTTTTCATCTAATGTGGAAAATGTTATTACTTTTCCAAATAGTTTTTTCTTCTTCCATCTGTGCTTTGCTTTTCAAGGACTCTGATTCCATCTACATGAGCTTCCGTGAAGTTGCCCCTTAGCTCAGGGATGCTATTTCACATTTTGTTTTGTTTTGTTTTGTTCTTCTTTTTCTGTGTGTTTCATTTTGAATAGTTTGTATTGCTATATGTTCATGCTCACTAATTTTTCTTCTGAGTGTCTAATCTGCCTCTATTCCCACCTACTGTATTTTTTTTCTTGGACACTGCAATCTTTATCTCTAGAAGTTCTGTTTAGGCCTGTTTTATATCTTCCATATGTTTTTAATTAACACCTTCAACTTGTGCACTTCACCTTTTTCAAAACATGGGATACAATTATAATAATACTTTTCATGTTTTTGTCTGCTAGTTCTAACACCTGTGTTTGTTCTTGAAAAGTTTTCAATCAATTGAGTTACTGCATTTTCGTGCTTGCTTTGTATGCATGGCAACTTTTGATTGGCTACTCGACCCTGAATCTTACATGGCTTGGTGCTGATATTTTTGTGTTCCTGTAAGTGAGGAACTTTGTTTTGGGACGCAGTGAAGTTTCTTGGAAACAGTTTGATACCATCAGGTCTTGCCTTGAAGACACCACCATTGCGTCCAGGGCTAACGGTTCCCTGCTACTGAGGCAAGACTTTCTAAGCACTGCCCCGTGCCGCAGTGTCTCGGAGGAGCAGCATGGTTCTCGACCCTTGGTGATTGTTGGGTACTGTTCCTGGGACTTGTTTTGGGTGGTTCTTTCATCAGCCATGGGCTGTTTGTTCACACACCTGAGCTGATTGTTACCCTACTCCAGGCCTTGGAGTTCTTCCTCTGTGCAGCAGTCACCTCTACGGCACTTGGCTCTGCAACATCCCACTGACCATTCTCCCCAGACTCCCACTGTGTCCTCAGCTCAAGGGGTGAGCTGGGCTCTGCCTGGGTTCCTCCTGCCTGCACCCTGGCCCAGAAGCTGTCTCAAGACGGAGCTGGGCAGACCCAGGGCTTGGCCTGTCTGTGTCCCTGCTTTCAGAGATGTCATCCTTCAGCGAGCAGATGCCCAAGGCCTTGAAGATGGTTGTTTCACATACGCAGCTCTGGTCCCTGTTTGTTCCTCTGTCTTCAGAAGTGCGAGTTGAGTGTCGGGTTGTTGAGAATCATATAAGCTGTTCAATCATTTCATTTTTGCAGACGTCAGTATAGTGCTGCAAGCTCCTTTCTTCATCCTGCTGTCGGTGGACGTTGGCAGCTTCAGTCTTGTGCTGTGGTGGTTGGTATTGGGACGGACGTGCTTCTCTGTGTCTGGTAGAGGTGGAAGCACAGGATGACTGAGCATGAGCGGATGCAGCATCTTCAGACGCCGCCACACTGTGTCCCGGGCAGTTGTGTTACTTTCAGACGTATCACACTGTGTCCCGGGTAGTTGTGTTACTTTCAGACGTGTCACACTGTGTCCCGGGTAGTTGTGTTACTTTCAGACGTGTCACACTGTGTCCCGGGCAGTTGTGTTACTTTCAGACGTGTCACAGTTGTGTTACTTTCAGACGTGTCACACTGTGTCCCGGGTAGTTGTGTTACTTTCAGACGTGTCACACTGTGTCCCGGGCAGTTGTGTTACTTTCAGACGTGTCACACTATGTCCCGGGCAGTTGTGTTACTTTCAGACATGTCACACTGTGTCCCGGGTAGTTGCGTTACTTTCAGACGTGTCACACTGTGTCCCGGGCAGTTGTGTTACTTTCAGACGGCGCCACACTGTTTCTCTGGTAGTTGTGTTACTTTCAGACGTGTCACACTGTGTCCCGGGTAGTTGTGTTACTTTCAGACGTGTCACACTGTTTCCCTGGTAGTTGTGTTACTTTCAGACGCCGCCACACTGTTTCTCTGGTAGTTGTGTTACTTTCAGACGCCGCCACACTGTTTCCCTGGTAGTTGTGTTACTTTCAGACGCCGCCACACTGTTTCTCTGGTAGTTGTGTTACTTTCAGATGCCGCCACACTGTGTCCCGGGTAGTTGTGTTACTTTCAGACGTGCCACACTGTGTCCCGGGTAGTTGTGTTACTTTCAGACGTGTCACACTGTGTCCCGGGTAGTTGTGTTACTTTCAGACGTGTCACACTGTGTCCCGGGCAGTTGTGTTACTTTCAGACGTGTCACACTGTGTCCCGGGTAGTCGTGTTACTTTGCATTCCTGCCGGGCACAGTAAGGCTCCCTGTTGCCCCACGTCCTCGCCAACTATCGGCCGTGCTGGACTTCATAACTTTCACCAGTGGAGTGCACCTGGTGTGGTGTTTCTTTTTTTTTCTTTTTAATCCTCACCCGAGGATATTTCCCATTGGTGTTTGGAGAGAGTGGAAGGGAAGGATGGGGAGAGAGAGACATACACACATCATCTGGTTGCCTCCCACATGACCCCCGACGGGGGCAGGGGATCGAACCTACACCCAGGTACGTACCCTTGACTGGGAGTCAGACCCGCAGCCCTTCGATCTGCTGGTCGGCACTGGAGCTGCTGAGCCAAGCTGGCCAGGGCTGGCTTGGTGTCTGCCTGCATGACCCTGATTTGTGTTTCCTTGAAAAAAACATTCGTATTTCATTTCGTGCTGATTCGCTGCCACGAATCCTCTCAGTTTTTCTTTATCTGAAAACGTTTTTACTTTCTTTCTCATCTCTGGGGCATTTACACGGAATCTGAGTTGTTATTGGGTAGTTTCAGCGTCGGGAGATGTCGTTCCAGCAACCCCTGTGTTGGCTTCGAGGTCGGGCGTGCCCTTTGGAGGGGCTGTCGGGTGTCCCCTTTGGAGGGGCTGTCGGGTGTCCCTTTGTCTGTCTTTCTCCTGACCTGTCTCCGTGACAGCCTTTTCCACTGTGCAACCACCATCCCCACTATCGCCTCTTCCTTTTAGCTACCGTATTATTTTGTTCTAGAGATTCCATTTGGTTATTTTTCTCGATCCAAATGGTGACATTTGCCATCTCGTCGTTTACCTCATTGAGCTCGTTAATCCGGTATTTTAAGGCCACTTTCTGGTCAGTCCAATGTCTGGATCAACCGAGAGTTTGTTGTCTTCTTCCTTTGTCCTATCTCCGGGTAATGTCTGTTTGGACGCGAGACATTTCTCATGCGTAACTGCAGCTCCTGGCTGACATTTTCTTCTTTTTGAGAGGACTTACGTGTGCTCCCGGTAGGCGGTTAGCGCAGGGACAGGCCGTCGGATCTGAGACAGTTGAGACCAGGCCTTGTCTTTACCAGGGCTGGTGTATTTCCTGTTTGGCGTCGCTCCTAGACTAGCTTTCCCCGGTGCTGAGAGCCTGGTTGTTTTGTTGTTGACTGTCAGGCCATCTTCTTTGTGGACCTTGACCTATAGATTTTACCTCTGAAAAACACGAGCCTGGCGGGGCCTCGCCGGGCCTCTCCGCCTCTGCGCGGCACCTGTCTGCTCCCGTCGGTGCCTGGCCGCTGACGCCTTGGGCAGCGCAGGCGCTCTGTCTCGGCTCCTCTCTGCGATCCCGGCCACCTCCGTCGCCCAGACTCCGATTTCTGTCTCCTTGGCTCCTCTGAGATTGCGGAAAGCTTTGCCTTAGCAAGGTGGGGTTCCTTTCACCCCCTGCTTTCTGCTTATTTCTCTGCCTTGTGGGTCCATGTGGATTCTTACTGGAAAATGTTGGGGGAGGCAGTGCCCACTCCTTCCAGTTCATTTCTCAGAACACTGGCCCCTCCATTTTGGTCGTCATGGTAACTCTCGGACACCTTCATATCGATTTTCAAGAGTCCACCTGCCCATCTTCTCCAGGTGTTCATGGCGTGAGGACTGCGTGACGTCGGGCGACCCCAGAGTCAGCAGCTGGCCCCCAGGGGGCAGAGTGTCTGTCTTTGGGACGCCAGAGTGGAGGGGACTTTCACACCTGTCTCTTTAGCCAGTCAGATCCGTGTCAACATGTGAATCTGTGTCAGATACAAACACTCTGTGTTTTCAGAGTAAGCTGTGCATTAATTGATTTCATGAACAATGGGGATGTCTTCAAAGAGCTAAAACGTAACAGTGACACAGGGTTGAGCTGGTTCATGTAGCGAATGGATTTTAAAACTCTGGTTTTTACAGTTTGTGGAGGAAAATGTAAAATAATTAAGAGAGAACCAATGATATAACAGTCACGCATGCTGGCTGGTGTGGTTAAGGACCGGAGTGTGAGTCTGGACACTTGGGTCACGGGAGTCTCCTGTCGCGTGGTTTTCCCTCCAGAGCGGCGGAAGAAGGCGTCAGCGTGGGAAAGGAACTTGGTGTACCCCGCCGTCATGGTCCTGCTCCTCATTGAGACGGTGAGCGCCCTGCTGGCCGTAGGGAGCCAAGTCCTGCTCTTTACTTGACCTTGGATGGTGGCAGCTCCCTCAGCCTGTGGTCCCAGGTAGACCGGTTTTCTAGCAATAAGAGTACAAGCCTTCTGTGCCTTCATCTCTGGGAACTGATGAAGCCGGAGCAGAAAGCAGTGGGCGTTTCTTAAAGGTCCTCGAGCTCCAGTCTCACTGGCGCCGAAGGAGGCGCAGGTGCCGCAGACACCAGGAGAGCGTGTGAGAGTCACACCCGGAAATCATCTGACAGCGTTTCCACCTTTTTAAAAAAATCTGTGCAGCTTTGGGTTCCTAATTGGTGGGATCAGTTAGGAAACAGGTCTGTATTCCTAGCGTTTGTCGCCAGCTTTGCAACAATGATAATTTGCAGAATTTTTTAGGACTTATTCTGGGGTTTGGTGGATAGTCTGATGACTGGGCTTAAGTGCAGGTGTTGGTCTGCACGGCCGGGCCTCCCTCTGACAGACAGTCGGTTGGCCGCTTAGATCTGAACACGTGTGGGGACAGACGCCCCGGAAGCGAAGACCTGACGCCTGGCTTTCTGTTGCAGTCCATCTCGGTCCTCCTGGTGGCCTGCAACATCCTCCGCCTGCTGGTCGACGAGACGGCCATGCCCAAGGGAGCGAGGGTAAGGCCGGTGTTCCCGTCCGTCTTCCCAACGCACCCTGCGTGAGCACTGTCTCCAGGGGGCCTCCGCGGACAGCCACCTTCCTGCACGCGCGGACTGCATGCTGTGTGACTGTCTCGTGCAAGGAGCCTTCCGAAATGTATTTACAAACCATGATATATATATATATATTTTTTTTTTATCCTCACCCAAGGGCATTTTTGCATGTATCTTCAGATAGAGCGGGAGGGAGAGAGGGGGGAAGAGAGAGAGAGAGAGAGACATCGATGTGAAAGGGACACATCGAGTGGTTGCCAACCACACGACCCCAACCGAGGGGACAAACCGCAACCGAGGTACATGCCCTTAGCAGGAACTGAACCTGGGTCTCTCTGGTCCGTGGGCCGACGCTCCAACCGCTGAGCCATACTGGCCAGGGCCGTGATTTTTTGTTTCTGTTTTCTTACTGTGGATTGGCTGGGCCTTTATTCAGGAATCAGATACAGTTCACACCAGAGCCTGTCTTTGTTTTACTGAAGTCCATGACTTGCGATTCTTTAAGAAAGTGTGCGCTCCGTGAAATAGCGCCATACGGAGGGTTTGGCAAAGGGATCCACTGGGTTCCCGCGGGACCGAACGTAGGGTGGCAAGGGAGCCCGCTCCAGAGGGACCACGCAGGTCTGACACGAGTGAGAATGTCCGGTTACCGCGGGAGCGTCACAGGGGCATCTGTTTAGGAATTGACTGTTTTCTCTCTTGTTTAAAAATGGGTGATTCGCCCTGGCTGGTTTGTTTCAGTGGTTAGAGCGTCAGCCTGCGGTCTAGAGAGACCCGGGTTCGGTTCCCGCTAAGGGCATGTGCCTCGGTTGCAGTTTGTCCCCGGCCCTGGTTGGTCGTGCGGGTGGCAGCCACTCGGTGTGTCCCTTTCACATCGGTGTTTCTCTCTCTCTCTCTCTCTCTTTTCCCCTTTCTCCCTCCCACTCTATCTGAACAAAAAATGGAAAAATGTCCACGGGTGAGGATTAAAAAAAAGAAAAATGGATGATTCAGTCAGAGAGCCAATTGGAATATATTCTCCATAAAGAAGGTAGTGACCAGTAAATATTCATATTTGGCACAGTTTTTCCGAATCTCTGTATACTTTTTGATACTTAAAGTAGCATTTAAGTGTTGACATTTTATTATACTTTCTAAGTCGGCCGCCTTCTCATCCCATAGAAATGACGTCAAGGCTGTTAGACTTTGACGCGCATCTCCCTGGACCAGCGATGCCCTTGCTCTCGTGGAGAAGGGCCATGGCTCGCCTCCATTCCTCCCCTCCGGTCCATGACAAGAGACCCTGTTCTTTCCAGAGCTAATTCTTCTAGCCATATTCCCCGTTTAGATCCCTCCGCACCTTTCCGGGCCTGGTGCTGTCTGTTACCGCCACTGTGTCCACCAGGCGAGCCCACCAATGGGCTCCAGGCCCCGTCTCTGCAGCCCGCTCTGGGTTGTTCAGACCCAAGCCCACTGACGGGCACAAGGTCACCTACTGTGCTGACTTCATCCACCGTTTAACCCATTCGTATATACCAAGCACTAGGTCAGACCCATGACCTACGGAGCATTTTTATTTATTTACTTTTAAACCCCTACCCAAGGACATTTATTATTATTATTATTTTTTTTAATCCTCACCCGAGGACATTTTTCCATTTTTTGTTCAGATAGAGTGGGAGGGAGAGAGCGGAAGAGAGAGAGAGAGGGAAACATCGACGTGAAGGGACACATCGAGTGGCTGCCACCCGCACGACCAACCAGGGCCGGGGACAAACTGCAACCGAGGTACGTGCCCTTAGCGGGAACCGAACCCGGGTCTCTCCAGACCGCAGGCCAACGCTCCAACTGCTGAGCCAAACCGGCCAGGGCCCAAGGACATTTTTTCATTTATCTTCAGACAGAGTGGGAGGGAGGGTGGGGAGAGAGAGAGAAACATTGACGTGAGAGAGACACATCCATTGGTTGTCTTCTGCACGTCCCTAAGCAGGGCCGGGACCAAACCACAGCCAAGGTACGTGCCCTTGGCCGGACTCAAACCTGAGACTCTGGTCTGCAGGCTGACGCTCTAACCTCTGAGTCCAGCCAGCCAGGGCCCACGGTGCATTTCTGTGCCATCCCGTTAGAACATGGGGAGAAACAGGCTGGGGAGCCTTTTCTCTGCCCGGGGCCCTTTGGCTACGTATAACAGCATTCAGGGCCAGAGTTATCCACCTAAACATGAGTCTGCTCGATTTGGTCAGGCTGATTGGTGAGGCTGTGCGTGAGCTGCTGTGGGTTTCTCAGACCTCACACGGCCCGTGGGCCCGACGTCGCCCCCACAGTGCATAGTTGAGAGGCACGTATACCCGGTAGGCTTCTTGCATAACTGTGTAAATAAATCAGGTCACCTTAATCCTACCTGAGGGCCTCTCAAGACAGGAAATATTTCCAAAATGTTTTCCTTTCCATCCCAGTTGTTGGGGAGGAAAATTGTTTTCTGCTCCTCTTCTAGTTTCTTTTGGCTGATCTAAGAATTAAAATGACAGGGGTCAGAAAAACAGGAGAAAATAAAAATTAATTACATATGTATTTAAGGAGGCCCCACAGAAATGAGACCTCAAGAAATGATCAAAGCAGGCAGTGTATATACCGTTTGTAGACAAAGAAACAGTTATCTGTGAAGATTGCACGAAACAAAGGTTTGTATTTGGGTTAAAGACTTAATGAGAAGCAACGGTTTGTCTGTACAGCGACCTCTGCCCCGAACTCCCGCCCTCCGGCACAGGGAGCTTGTTTCTGGGGTGTAGGGGCGCAGAGCAGGGTCAGAGTGTTCTCACACTGGCTATTTCTCAGGTAATGAATTTGAAATAATCCACGTGCACCCTGGCACCTTTGGGGCCGTCCTCCCTGAGCCCCCCGGGTCCTGTCTGTCAGCATGACTCAGCCCTCTGTCAAAAGGCTGACAGGGTGATGCATCCGTCTGCCCTGACTGTAACCATGTGTGACCCTTCCACGGGTATCTTACCTCTTCATGCCCAAATCAGAATGCATGTAAAATATTTATTACTTACTGGTTTATTTTTTCCTTAGTGTGACTATACATTTTCAATGACCCTGATATTTCTGTTAGATGTCATAGGAGCTGATGGTAGAATAAGTCGTTCCTGTTCACACTGTTCCTTTAATTAGTAGTTGCGAAAATACTGTTCCTACTTGAGGAGGAAATCATTCTCTGCCTGTCTGTCCTCACTGACAAATGCTACTACTTTTCTGTTTGTTGTTAACTCCTACATAAAGATAGGTTTTGAGAACAGGTATAATGTTTAGGAAAAATTTTAAAGCATTACATTTTTTAAAATCTGGGTTCATTAAGTTATAATATTTAAAAACTGAATTTCCAAGGAAGATTTGGGGAAGGAAATTCCAAGGGTGAGGTTGCTCGTTCCCTTCCTGTCTGTCCTTAGCTTACTTCCGGCAAACTTGGTGTAATGTTGTCATGTTGCCTCAGGGTTCGGGTAATTCTATATTTTATTCATATTATACTGTTATACTTTTAAAAGATTTCTTCCCAGAATGTTCAGGATCTTACAGTAAGCATAATCATATTATTTTGATAAGTTAAATTGGAGACACATCAGAAATGTTTTGAGCTTGTTAAAACTGTGAACAGGTGGTTGAGTTAGTTGACAAACTCGGTCTAATGTCACGTTTTATTGTCCTTTAAAGTCTAGATGCTATTCCAGGTATTAAACAGTCCTCATTTCTCCCGTCCTGTATTTGTGAAACAACAGTTTTAGGGAAACCAAATATAATAGTGTCATTGAATTCTGAACAGTGTTTTTCCCCCCAGGGGCCTGGGGTAGGAGACGCCTCCCTCTCTGCTTTTGGTTTTGTGGGAGCTGCACTCGAAATCATTTTGATTTTGTATCCTTTCTTCCTCTGAATGTCTGTTAACAAGCTTTCTGCCTCGTTTTCTGGGACAGTGGTAATTTACTAAGACACTTGCCGGGAAGAAAAAACAAGCCTTTCTTCCCCAGGCACTCCAAGTGGCTTTTGGTTTTGTTTTGAGTTTCCTTTGGGCCTTAAGACTCTCGGAGACTCCTGAGAACTTGGCCAGCTCGCATTCCTCGGAGGGTTTTCCTTGATTCTCACAGCTATCTGATGGTGTCCTCTGTCGTCGGCTTCTATAGCCTCCGGTTTTTTGGAGACTTTACTCCCAAGAAGGACGACACGACCATGACAAAGGTAAGGTAGCCCTTCTGCCTTCCCAGCCGCACCGGCGGTTTCATTCAGTGACCGTCCCGAACGCTTCCTCCGGGTGACAGGCATTTGTTTGTCAGCCGCGTAAACACCGGCGGGAAGGTTTTCGAGCCGCCGCCGGGGCGGGAAAGGCTGCCGTGGGATTTGGACGGCGTCCACCCATTGTGAACGCCCGGGACGCAGGGCTCGTTAGCCGGCGAGAGGTCTGAAAGGGCGCCCGTCCTGCAGGGAAAACGCTTCCCCGCTAATGAGTCCTCAGGCTCTGCTGACCGCACTTCAGGGCCTTGGGTGGAATCTGAAGCACCGAGTTGCAACAAGTAGCGGAGACCAAGTAGTTCAGATCTGAATAATTAAAGCAAGACGGAAGAGGTCTATTCAGACACAGGCGTCCTCTGAGGCCAGTGTGACTTTCCACAATGTGTCCTTGGCTTCGAACGGTCCGGCTGCCTCGGCTCTGGGACGTTCCCACAGGCTGACAATGAAGAGCCCGAGCTGCGGCACCTTTGATTTTAGAGAGTCCATGCTGTCACCCTGCTTCAGGGAGAGCTTACTTCCTATTCATCTGTGTGTCTGTCCGTCGCTGTGGCTGTCGAAAGCACCACGAGTTCCTGAGATACTGAGCGTCTAGTTTAAGGGATCACAAGTATTCGTATGTTCAGCTCTTGTGTTTATGAAAGAATAAGCATAGGATGCATTGGCTAGAATTTATGTGTGTTGGATTTCTAGCTTTTTGGTGTTAAAATCTTACACTAGTGAAACATACTAGAAGTAGATCTCATATATGTCGTGAGCAGCAGCTGGCTTTAAAAGTAGTCAGAAAGAGTACACGTGTTAGTTCCTCGTCACTGGCCGGCGGCCTCGGAGAGGAACGAGCAGCGGGGCCTGAGGCCGAGGCGACGGCGTGTCCCGTGACCTTCCGTTGGTGCCGGCTCGTGCTTTCTGGAACCAGACAGGTCATCCAGTGTCCGTAGGCAGTTTATTCTTACTTTCAAGTTCTGGAGGAAATATGATTAAGAAGTTCACAAAGTGCGGTCGGTACCCGGAATGTACAGTGACTCCCAGAGGTGCGGGGGGCACTGACCACGCTGTTGCTCTTCCCGTCTCCCCGCAGATCATCGGGAACTGCGTGTCCATCCTGGTCCTGAGCTCCGCCCTGCCGGTGATGTCCAGGACGCTGGGTGAGTCCCGGGGGCGCTGCGCCAGCTCCGCCCCCGCATCCTGTCCCTGGAGCTCTCCCTGGAGGGTGCACCTCTCCATCACCTCCTGCCGACTTCACCCGCACGTCGGCTGCACCGGAAGGTGCTTCTCAGATAAAGGCCACTCGTTTCTTTTATCCTCACCCGAGGACACTTTTGCATTTTTCTTCAGATTGAGCAGGAGGGAGAGAGGGGGAAGAGAGAGAGAAACATCCATGTGAGAGAGACATGGAGTGGCCGCCACCCACATGACTCCACCTGGGGCAGGGGACACACTGCAACCGAGGTACGTGCCCTTAGCGGGACCTGAACCCAGGACTCTCTGGTCTGCGGGCCGAGGCTCCAGCCGCTGAGCCCGGCCAGGGCCTATTCATTTTTTTAAATACTAAAAAAAATGTCTTCTCCAAACAGTGGACTTTTCTGTTCACTGACCACTTAAGCTTTTGTGTCTCTAGTAAGGAAACTGATTTTTATTAAGGAAAAAAAAAAGGTTTAATATTTAGAAAATATTCAACGAATTTTTCTTCTATGAAATGTCTTTAAAACTTATAATTAGGTGGTTTAAAGACTTGAAACTCAGCCTTATTTCCCGCCGCCTGAGTCCATGAACCCGGCTGGCAGGCAGTGAGCTCTGGGTGAGCACAGGCGGTTCGAAGGCATCAGGGTGAGGATGTCCCCTCCTGTCGTTCTTGGGGTTTTCTCAGTTTTTCAACCGACAGAATTTTGATCCTCTTTCAAAGCAGAGTGCTTCCACTCCGTTGTAGGAACAGCTGGGAAATCTCCCCCCGGCCTCCTCCCTGCCCGCGAGGGGGTTGTGGCTGTGGACACCGTTCTTGGCTAAATGTTACTGCGGCCGCCAGTACGCAAGGGCAGTCGGGTTTCCTGGACTTGGGGCTGGACTGGAGGGTGGTCACCGACCGCCAGGAAAAATCGCATCCTCCGCCCTCAGCAACGTGCTGGTGGCAAAAATCACTAGTAACCGCGAGCTGCTTCTGCTTCCGCTCTCAGATCGCACCGCTGTTTGTTCAAGGCGCCCCGCCGGCAGGGAGGCCGGCTGTGCCAAGAAAGGACACCTCGATCCTCGTCCTCGTGATCTCGCGAGGAATTTCACGCTGTAATAACAAGTGACATCTCAGGGTGCACGTGAACTGGACCCTCTTCCCAGACGGTGCAGAGCTCGTTCATGTCTTACTTCTTTCGTGCTTGCTTGGAGGGCTTGTTGTTCCGACAGCTGCTGCTGGTGTGCTCACCCTGACAATGCCAGAAACACGCCCTTGTGAAGCGTGATTCGCGCTAAATGCTGTCGTATGTATGATGACAGCCCAACAAGTAATCGCTGTGCCGGCTCAGCCTCCCGGCCTGGTCCTGTATGGAACCCCCTGCTCTGCTATTAAAGCCTCGATGGCAACATGCACCGAGTTTACAGAAGAAAGTTACATGCTGAGTAGTTTTCATACAAAGAAAACAAATTCATGGTAAAATTGGCATTTTGAAGATCAGCACGTGGAGTTCCTCAGTGGTTTGCCACAGAGGTAAATAGAGAAGGGAAGACGGAACAATGAAAAGGCAGGTAGCCAGCGCCTGCACCAGGTGTCCAAACAGGCCCTGGGCACCGCACGCACCCTGCACCCCGCACGCACTCCGCGCACCCGCACATACTTCCCGCACCCGCGCGCTCTGCACATTCGCACGCGCTCCCCGCACCCGCACGCTCCGCGCACCAGCGCCCACTCCGCGCCCTGCACCCGCACACTCCCCGCACCCGCACGCTCAGCGCACCCGCACACTCCGCGCCCTGCACGCACTCCGCACATACTTCCCGCACCCTCCACATACAGAGTACCCGAATACTCCCAGCACCCGCGCGCTCAGAATACGAACTACTTCCCCGCAACCCGCGCGCTCTGCACATTCGCACGCGCTCCCCGCACCCGCACACTCCGCGCACCCGCACATACTTGCCGCACCCGCACGCTCCCCGCACCCGCACGCTCCGCGCCCTGCACGCGCTCGGCTCTCTTCCCCGCTCAGCACGCCCTGCCCGAGGCGCCGAACACGTGCGGAGGCTACACGCGGCAGACAGACCCACACGGGCTGCTCGCAGTGTTGACAAAGTAACTTTCTGGACGAAAAGAATCAGCTTTATCTCCGTCTCATGGGGACGCGGACTCGGCAGTCACTTGGCAGGTCCCCTGCCCGGGCTTCAGAAGCGCGCCTTTGATTTTCGGATGAAGTACAGGGCAGTGTCACGGCCGTTACCCCTCTGTGGACGGGCCTGGCCCGACCAGCTGAGAAGCTCCTCACACCAGGACGGGCTGCGTTTAACCGCCGGCCAGGCTGCGGCGTCCTCACGCCTGCTGGCCACCCCGACGAGAGCCCGGCGCTGGCGAGGCCGCAGCTGCGAGCCGCAGCCCACCGCCCCGGCGGAGCCCGTGCAGAGCCAGGGTGGGGCCCGGGCGGGGCCAGTGCAGAGCCAGGGTGGGGCCAGGGCGGGGCCAGTGCAGAGCCAGGGCGGAACCAGTGCAGAGCCAGGGCGGGGCCAGGGCGGGGCCAGTGCAGAGCCAGGGCGGAACCAGTGCAGAGCCAGGGCGGGGCCAGGGCGGGGCCAGTGCAGAGCCAGGGCGGGGCCAGTGCAAAGCCAGGGCGGGGCCAGGGCGGGGCCCGTGCAGAGCCAGTCCGTGGTCAGTGCGGGGGCCAGTGTGTGGCCAGCCCCGTCGCCTTCTCCTCCACGGGCAGCCGTTCTGAGTTTAGTAGTTTTCAAGTGAGGATTGTAACTTGTCATAAATTGGAAACATATTGAATCCCGCGTAAAGATAACTCGGCGTCTGCGAGGCTCTGTGATTCGGCTGCAGCCTGGCAGGCACAGCCGTGGGTTTAGCCTTCGCGGGTGGGAGAGCCCACATTTCCACGGAATTCCTTTGGGGTGGCTTCTTATATTCGGATGTGGAAGATCTTGCACTGATTGAAAAGTTACCCCTAAGTAGATTTTATAAGCGTGTCCCTTGCCACAAAGGTCGGAGAGAAAAATGTTGACCATGTATTTTTAGTCAAATGTAGTGGACATAGGTGATGGTGTCTTATTCACAGGAAACAAACATCTGTGCGCAACAAGTCCACTCGAGCCCTGTGAAGCCCTTACCCGTGGGGAGCGCCAGCCAGGGGCCCGCATCCAGCACACCGGCAGTGACGCTGGTTCTGAAGACTCGGCACCTGGGGATCGATGTCCATATTTTCAGTAAACAGTAGACTCTCATGGTGATGAGAGGACATGCGGAACGGGTGAAATTCGGACAGGACCAGGCCTAATAAATGGCCTCTGGGTGCCCGGACTTCTCTGTGATCAAGTATTTAACGGTAGCAGGGAACTTTGTAAGAACAGGTTTCTCTGGTGGCTGCTGGCGTGTTCTCGATTGTGCTTCACCAGGGGCAGTGGAGGGGTCGGCTCTTTTTCGCGTTGTAATCCCCTTTCGCCGCAAAATTTTTCTCAACTCTCAGACCTTGCAGTACTTTCACTCATTTCTGTGTAAACACTATTCTCGTTATTTTCCTCTTCTCATTCTGAGGTTCTCTCTGTGACCTGCTCGTGATGCGGGGCCCAAACGCAGGTTCAGAGACACGTGCTTGTGCCCTGGACACGGAAGCGCTCGCCCTGTAAGTCAGCTCGGACCGATGCGCACGATGCGCACACATCTCGTCAGGTCCTGGGCAGTCCGTCATCTTGCCGGAGATACTGTTCTCCTTTGTTCTGTGATGAAGGGATCCTGTCTAACGTCCGTCCCTCTTTGGAGAGGTTTCCGTTTGGGGTTTCATCCGCCACTCTCCACCTGCACCTGCTTTCCCTCCCCAGTTCTCAGTGCAGAACAGAAATATAAGTCAGAGCGCATACCCCTGACCACGACGTTTTTGTTTTGTTAACCCTCACCCAAGGATATTTTTTACACTGATTTTTTGAGAGAGAGTGGAAGGGAGTGTGGGGAAGGGAGAGAGAGAGACATCGATGTGACTGACTGAATTCATGGGGCACAGAGTCCACCTGCGAGCACGCAGCCACCACCCACCCCGAACGTGGCCAGCGCCAGGCTGGGGCCCCACTGCGATGAGCGAGCGGAGTCGGGGCAGGTGGTCTGCGGAGGGCGGAGGGTGCTCTGCACCATGGGCAGGGCTCCCACCAGAGCGTCTCACGGGCTCAGCTTGGTGCCTGGGGAGTCGGGTCGAGACCTGAGACGAAGTTCCAGTCAGAGAGCAACCCTCTCAGGCGACATTCGGTCCCCCGATGTCTCAGGCCGACCGCAGACAGGAGTCCAGAGCCTGGTGCTGCAGCCCCCCGAGGCCCCCCGAGGCCCCCCGAGGCACAGGCAAACATCAGACCGAGGCACTAGTTTCTAATTCAGTGTTTGTAAATGAACTGATGGTGACTGACTGGCTGAAGGATGACAGGCAGCTCTTCCATTCTGAGAATCTGCCGTGAGCCTGGACAGTGAGGGCCTCAGGCAGGCCCCTCTGTACGCGTCATGGCAGCGGTTAACCGTAAAGGGCACCTGTCACTAAAAGTACTTCCCCTGACCAGTCTGGCTCAGCAGTTGGAGCGTCGGCCCGCAGACCAAAGAGCTGCAGGTTCGATTCCAGTGAAGGGCACGTACCTCGGTTGCGGTTCAGTCCCCGGCTCTGGTCGGGGTCATGCGGAGGCAACCAATCGATGTGTCTCTCTCACATCAATGTTTCTCTCTCTCTCTCCTTCCCTCTCTATTTGAAGATAAATGGCAAAGTATCCTTGGGTGAGGATTAAAAAAAAGGTACCAACACTTGCCCTGGCCTGTGTGGCTCAGTGGTTAGAATGTCGGCCATGCACCCAAAGGTCAAGGGTTTGAATGCCGGTCAAGGGCATGTACCTGGGTTTCAGGTTCGATCCCTGGCCCAGTTGGGCTCCTGAGGAAGGCAGCCAATCAAGGTGTCTCTGTCACATCAATGTTTCTCTCCCTCCCTCCCTCTCTTTAAAAAGCAATGGAAAAAAATATCCTTGGGTGAGGATTAACGAAAAAAAAGGAAAGAAGCAGAACTTGGGTGGAGGACCGGGGAGATGGGACCTTCAGGAGGGGGTCGTCAGGTGTCTTTTGCAGCAGGACTGTTTCCTGGGTCCGTCCTCTGCCCCCCACGAGCAGCAAGGTGGGTGAGGGGCCAGGAGGGCTGACAGGACTGGTCCCCAGGTGCCATCCCTGAGCGAGATGGGAAGGCCCACGGAGCCTGGTCTGACGCACGCCGTGTCTTGTGGTGTCGACTAACACGTCGCACCCAGCGTGACCAGGGCCGTTTGTTTTCACAGGAATCACGAGGTTCGACCTGCTGGGAGACTTCGGGAGGTTTAACTGGCTGGGGAACTTCTACATCGTGCTGTCCTACAACCTGCTGTTCGCCGTGGTGACGACGCTGTGCCTGGTCAGGAAGTTCACCTCCGCCGTGCGCGAGGAGCTCCTCAAGGCTTTGGGTGAGCCACGTGCTGGGCGCGCCCTCTGCTAACGCCAGCGCCACGCAGGGTTCGCGTCAGGCTCCACTACTTTTCCCAAATGTGGGAATCAAGGTCATGTTCCTGACCTGCGTGTGAAATCACTTCCTTTGAAAACAAATACATTTTTATTGATTTTTTAGAGAGAGAGAAACATGGATGTGAGAGAAACATCCATCGGCCGCCTCCTGCACGCCCCTCACTGGGGATCCAGCCCACAACCCGGGCATGTGCTCTGACTGGGAATCAAACTGAGACCTCTCAGTCCATGGGACGGTGCTCAGTCCACTGAGCCACACCGGCCGGGTGAAGTCACCTCTGTAAGCCGGGCCTCCCTCCTCTGGGCAGCGGTGCCGTCCTCTGACGGTGAGGACAGCTGGGAGCATGTGGACACCACTGCGAGGGCCTGAGGCCATCCTGGCCCTGGTGGGAGTGGGGAAGCAGTAGCTCTTAGGTTGTTAGGGTGATGGAAGGCCCCTGGGGTGAGAATGGGGACGTGCTGAAGGCATATATTTTGGCAGTGACACCTCTTAACTGTTTTCAGTTAAGGATTTTTTAAAAGTTAATTAATTAATTTTTGTTACAGATGTTTCTTTTCCCCCCACTGATTCCCCTCTCCCCCTCCCTCCCCGCCTGGTCCCCAGCTTTGTTGTCCATGTCCATTGTCATGCATACATGCATATAAGTTCTGTGGTTTATCTCTTCCCCACCATCCCCTCTTCTGGGATTGTCAGTCTGTACCCCACCTCCACGTCTCTGGGACTATCCCATTCCTCAGACTGTTATGTTCATTATATTCTACAAATAAGTGAGATCATATGATACTTGTCTTTCTCTGTTTGGCTTGTTTCGCTTAGGATAATACTTTCCAGGTCCCTCCATGTTGTCTCAAAGGATAAGAGATCTTTTTTTTACAGCTGCATAGTACTCCATTGTGTATATGTACCACAGCTTTTTTATCCATTCATCTACTGATGGACACTTGGGCTGTTTCCAGATCTTAGCTATTGTAAATAGTGCTGCTACTAACGTGGGGGTACATATATTCCTTCTGATGGGTGTTTCAGGCTTCTTAGGGTATATTCCTAGAAGGGGGATCACTGGGTCAAATGGAAGTTCAATTTTTAATTTTTTGAGGTAACACCATAGTGTTTTCCATAGTGGCTGCACCAGTCTGCATTCCCACCAGCAGTGTACTAGAGTCCCCTTTTCTCCACACCCTCGCCAACACTTGTTGTTTGATGATTTGTTGTTGGCGGCCATTCTGACAGGTGTGAGGTGACCTCATTGTTGTTTTACTTTGCATCTCTCTGATGATTAGTGATGATGAGCATTTCTTCATATGCCTCTTGGCCATTTGTATGTCCTGTTTGGAGAGGTGTCTATTCAGCACCTCTGCCCATTTTTTAATTGGGTTCTTTGTCTTCCTTTTGTTGAGTTGTATGGGCACTCTATATACATTGGAAATTAATCCCTTATCTGATATATCATTGGCAATTATGCTCTCCCATACACTGGGTTGCCTTTCCATTTTGATGGTTGTTTCTTTTGCTGTGCAGAAGCTTTTGAGTTTGATGTAGTCCCATGTGTTCATTTTCTCCTTTGTTTCTGTTGCCTTAGGTGATATATCAGTGAAAACTCTGCTGCGTATGATGTCTGAAATTTTGTTGCCTACATTTTCTTCTAGGATTTTTATGGATTCATGAGTCACATTTAAGTCTTTTATCCATTTTGAGTTTATTCTTGTGTATGGTGTAAGTTGGTGGTCTAGTTTCATTTTTTTGCATGTAGCTGTCCAATTTTCCCAACACCATTTATTAAAGAGGCTGTCTTTACTCCACTGTATGCTCTTGCCACCTTTGTCAAATATTAATTGAGCATATTGCCTTGGGTCCATTTCTGGGTTCTCTAAAAATAGGGAATGCTTCACGAATTTGCGTGTCATCTGCGCAGGGGCGATGCTAATCTCTACCGTCCAATGTTAGTCTGTGTGCTGCCAAAGCGAGCACCGGTTAAGGATTTTTTTGAGGCTTGGATTTGACAAGTGTCTGGCCGACCCATGATTCTCTTCAGGAAAATAAAGAGCAATTCAGGGTAAAAGGTTGGTGTCCTCAGCGTGAGCAGGAGACAGGCTTGCGTAGCGGAGCGTCCGAGGGCCCACGCGCTGGGACCGTGCGAAAACCCGGCGTAGCCAGGTGTGCGGTGAGCACGTGACCTGGGCGTGCGCCCGTCATGCTCACTTCAGCACTAGCCTCAGACCTCCCAGCCTGTAGGTTCGAGGAACCCAGGACGACACGGACATCTGCCCCGTAGGGTTTGGGCCGCGGGCTCCGTGGTAACGGAGGGAATGGCGTGACCTGTGGCGGAGATCCCAACGCTGGCCCACGTACCTGGAGTGGCCGCCCCTGTGGATTGTAGCTCTTGCCAGGGGCAGCGTGACGGTGGACCGGCTGAGGTCCTGCTTGCCGGCCACTGGGCCTCGTGAGTGTCAGCAAAGCTTCGCTCCCCCCACCTTCCAGCCGATGGGAAGGGTGACCTTTGGGAAGGAAAAAAGGTTTCAGATGGTCTAGTCAGTTGAATTTTGCTTTATATTCACCCTGAGGAGGTGGCTGGTGAGATTCGGCCCAAAAGGGAGATGCTACACCTCACTCCAGCAGAAGCCGGAAAATAGACGGATTCTGTGCAGGAGGACTCCGTGCGGGTGGATGGTGTGCAGGAGGACTCCGTGCGGGTGGATGGTGTGCAGGAGGACTCCGTGCGGGTGGATGGTGTGCAGGAGGACTCCGTGCGGGTGGATGGTGTGCAGGAGGACTCCGTGCGGGTGGATGGTGTGCAGGAGGACTCCGTGCGGGTGGATGGTGTGCAGGAGGACTCCGTGCAGGCGGATGGTGTGCAGGAGGACTCCGTGCGGGTGGATGGTGTGCAGGAGGACTCCGTGCGGGTGGATGGTGTGCAGGAGGACTCCGTGCGGGTGGATGGTGTGCAGGAGGACTCCGTGCGGGTGGATGGTGTGCAGGAGACTCCGTGCGGGTGGATGGTGTGCAGGAGGACTCCGTGCGGGTGGATGGTGTGCAGGAGGACTCCGTGCGGGTGCGATTGGTGTTTCAGGAGGACTCCGTGCGGTGTGGATGGTGTGCAGGAGGACTCCGTGCGGGTGGATGGTGTGTCAGGAGACTCAGTGAGGCTGGATGGTGTGCAGGAGGACTCCGTGCGAGGATGTTGAATGCAGGGATTGGTGTGCAGGAGGACTACTGTGCGGGTGATGGTGTGCAGGAGGCCTCCGTGCGGGTCGTGGATGTGTGCAGGAGGACTCCGTGCGGGTGGAGATGGTGGCAGGAGGACTCCGTGCGGGGTGGATGCGTGTTGCAGGAGACTCCGTGCAGGCGGATGGTGTGCAGGAGACTCCGTGCATGCAGGAATTGTGTTGCAGGAGGAACTCCGTAGCGGGCTGGATGGTCGTGCGGGAGGACTACGTGCGGGTGGTATGGTGTGCGGAGACTCCGTGCGGATGGATGTGTGCGGGAGGACTCAGTGCAGGTGGGGATGTGTGCATGTGGACTCCGTGCAGGTGGATGGTGTGCAGGAGGACTCCGTGCGGGTGGATGGTGTGCAGGAGGACTCCGTGCGGGTGGATGGTGTGCAGGAGGACTCCGTGCGGGTGGATGGTGTGCAGGAGGACTCCGTGCGGGTGGATGGTGTGCAGGAGGACTCCGTGCAGGTGGATGGTGTGCATGTGGACTCCGTGCAGGTGGATGGTGTGCATGTGGACTCCGTGCGGGTGGATGGTGTGCAGGAGGACTCCGTGCAGGAGGATGGTGTGCAGGAGGATGGTGTGCAGGTGGATGGTGTGCATGTGGACTCCGTGCAGGTGGATGGTGTGCAGGAGGACTCCGTGCGGGTGGATGGTGTGCATGTGGACTCCGTGCGGGTGGATGGTGTGCATGTGGACTCCGTGCAGGTGGATGGTGTGCAGGAGGACTCCGTGCGGGTGGATGGTGTGCATGTGGACTCCGTGCGGGTGGATGGTGTGCATGTGGACTCCGTGCGGGTGGATGGTGTGCATGTGGACTCCGTGCAGGTGGATGGTGTGCAGGAGGACTCCGTGCAGGTGGATGGTGTGCATGTGGACTCCGTGCGGGTGGATGGTGTGCAGGAGGACTCCGTGCAGGAGGATGGTGTGCAGGAGGACTCCGTGCGGGTGGATGGTGTGCAGGAGGACTCCGTGCAGGAGGATGGTGTGCAGGAGGACTCCGTGCAGGAGGATGGTGTGCAGGAGGACTCCGTGCGGGTGGATGGTGTGCATGTGGACTCCGTGCGGGTGGATGGTGTGCATGTGGACTCCGTGCAGGTGGATGGTGGTGCATGTGGACTCCGTGCAGGTGGAGGTGTGCAGGAGGACTCCGTGGGGTGTGGATGGTGTGCATGTTGGACTCCGTGCGGGTGGATGGTGTGCATGTGGACTCCGTGCGGGTGGATGGTGTGCAGGAGGACTCCGTGCAGTGGATGCTGGTGCATGTGGACTCCGTGCAGGTGGATGTGTGTGCATGTGGACTCCGTGCAGGTGGATGGTTTGCAGGCGGACTCCGTGCGGGTGGATGGGTGTGCATGTGGACTCCGTGCGGGTGGATGGTGGCAGGAGGAGTCCGTGCGGGTGGATGGTGTGCATGTGGACTCCGTGCGGGTGGATGGTGTGCATGTGGACTCCGTGCGGGTGGATGGTGTGCAGGAGGACTCCGGAGGACTCCGTGCGGGTGGATGGTGTGCATGTGGACTCCGGAGGGTGGATGGTGTGCAGGAGGACTCCGTGAGGGAGTGGCTGGTGTGCAGGAGGACTCCGTGGGTGTGGATGGTGTGCAGGAGGACTCCGTGCGGGTGGATGGTGGGCAGGAGGACTCCGTGCGGGTGGTGTGGCTGTGCGGAGGACTCCGTGCAGGAGGATTGTGTGCAGGAGGACTCCGTGCAGGAGGATTGTGTGCAGGAGGACTCCGTGCAGGAGGATTGTGTGCAGGAGGACTCCGTGCAGGAGGATTGTGTGCAGGAGGACTCCGTGCAGGAGGATTGTGTGCAGGAGGACTCCGTGCGGGTGGATTGTGTGCATGTGGACTCCGTGCGGGTGGATGGTGTGCAGGAGGACTCCGTGCGGGTGGATGGTGTGCAGGAGGACTCCGTGCAGGCGGATTGTGTGCAGGAGGACTCCGTGCAGGCGGATTGTGTGCAGGAGGACTCCGTGCGGGTGGATGGTGTGCATGTGGACTCCGTGCGGGTGGATGGTGTGCAGGAGGACTCCGTGCGGGTGGATGGTGTGCAGGAGGACTCCGTGCAGGCGGATGGTGTGCAGGAGGACTCCGTGCGGGTGGATGGTGTGCAGGAGGACTCCGTGCGGGTGGATGGTGTGCAGGAGGACTCCGTGCAGGAGGATTGTGTGCAGGAGGACTCCGTGCAGGAGGATTGTGTGCAGGAGGACTCCGTGCAGGAGGATTGTGTGCAGGAGGACTCCGTGCAGGCGGATGGTGTGCAGGAGGACTCCGTGCAGGCGGATGGTGTGCAGGAGGACTCCGTGCAGGAGGATGGTGTGCAGGAGGACTCCGTGCGGGTGGATGGTGTGCAGGAGGACTCCGTGCAGGAGGATGGTGTGCAGGAGGACTCCGTGCGGGTGGTGTGATGTGGCGGCGTTGTCCGCGCGGCGCTGTGTCGGGCGGTCCTCTCGGGCGGCGCCCAGAGTCAGCCCGCAGGCCCACCGAGCCCTGATCTCAGCTCAGTGCCCCGCACTCGCTGAAAGGGGTGGTTGCACCGGAGGGCCTCTGAGCTCGGTGTCCTGGGCGTCCTCCAGGGACAGCTGCCCCCGCTGGACACTGGGGTTCACCTCCGGATGGTGGTGTCAGTGGTTCTGCACAGGGCAGACGCTGTAGCTCCTCAGAACCCGGCCCACGGGACACCCACGTTTCCGAGGGAACTGACTGAATACGCCCCCAGGAAGGGTGCTGGGTCAGCCAGCTTCTCCGCCCCCCTCCCCACGCCCGCATGAGCAGGAGACTGTTGGTCAGCCGTCACCCCCCCGGGACCAGAAGTGTAGTGTTGGACTGACTTCTCCCCTCTGTTGGGTCAGGCTCGGGTCTAGCTTCCGCTCACAAGGTGTGCGGGGCAGAGGTGCGCAGCTGGCAGTGCTGTGCCGTCACAGACAGCACCCGGGCTCGGGGGAGCGTCACCTCGCTGGTGTGAGGGGCGGCGAAGGCCTGGACCTCGGATACGGATCCTTCCCACAGACCCTCCCCGGGCTGTGCTTGGTCCGCGCCTCAGAACCCCGGCCCCGCGAGGGCGCCGAACGCACCCCCACGCCTCTTATTCTCTGAAGTGCTATCTACGTTCCACCAGCTGTTCTGCCATTTCTTTCTCTTTTTCTCCTGGGTAATATTTTCCACTGCCTTTCTTTTTATTTTTCAATCCTCATCCATTTATCTTCAGATGGGGGCGGGGAGGGAGAGAGAGACACCAACTGGCTGCCTCAGCACCGAACTGGGAATCGAACCTGTGACTCTGGTCTGCGGGTGACACTCTAACTGCTGAGCCACACGGGCCAGGGCTGCCTTTCTCTGTAAACACACGCTAGACATTTTGCTGTGTCCGTGCGTTTTCCTGTGTGTGCTTCACGTGTGTATATTTTGAAACAAAGAAGGATCATGCTTGTCTGGGCTGGGCGCCTTGGGAAGCACCCTGTGGGCGGGAGTCGGTTTGCAGGGGAGGCGCGTCAGCACGAGGGGCGGGGGGGGGGGGCTGCCCCCCTGGATGCTGTGCTGCAGGGCTGGCCCCAGGGCCACGGAGCGAGCAGAAGGCAGGACTCTGGCGCCAGGGGGGAGAGAGCCGTCCCTGAACGGGGCTGGCCGGTGCCCCCGTGTGCACCCTGCCTCGTGGGTGTCCTGCCCCCCGCTGGCCCACCGCCACAGCACCCGCGTCACCGTTGCCCCTTCTCTCTGCAGGGCTCCATAAGCTGCAATTGTCCAACACCTCCAGGGAGGCAGACGCAGCCAAGCCTTCCGCCAACGGGCACCAGAAGGTCCTGTGAGACACAGCTTCGCTCGCAGCCGGACCGGACCTGCTGGCCACGCGGCGCCGTCACAGGTCATGGCGTGGCCGTGGCTGTGGCCGTGCACAGTTTCTGATCGTCTGCCGATCCCGGGGCTGCCGTGGGTCTCCTGCTACTCGGCCGGGCCCTGCGCTTCCAGCCACAAGCTCGCACCTGCTCGAGTCGACAGCCAGCCTGTGGCACAGCCCGTGAGAAACTCGGGGCTCTGAGGGTTCTCAGAAACCACGCTGCTCCGTGCAGAAGGCGGGCCTGCGGAAGGCACTTGGCTGGGGCGACGTGAGCCGGAGGCCCGTGGAAGTGCCCAGGTCCGCCGTGGGTGCGGCTGCATTTTCCGTCCTTAGAGAAGGAACCAAGCGCAGTGGTGACTCACGTTCCGGGACTTTGCGTGAAGGGAAAGCAGGGATCCTGCGAGCCCGGCCTAGGTGGCCCTGCGCAGTGACCAGTGCGGGCGGCAGTGTGCTGACCACGGTCCCGAGCCCGTCGGTCCGTCTTACCTCTCTCGGCTCGGCTGCCCGTGCGGGACGCACTCGTGACAGACTCTGCCTTACTGGCTACGTGGACACTCGTCTTCCAGGCCCCTTTCCAAACAGCCCTCAGCTCCCGGGGCTCCTGTGCCCCCGACAGACCCAGCGCCCCGGCAGACCCCTTCTCCCCCCGCTCTTCAGGCTGTGGCTCCTTGGAGGTCAAACCTCAGACCCGTGGAAGGGACCAGGGCCACAGCGAGCGCACGGCGTCGGCGCTCACGACCGGGAGCAGCCTGGCCGAGGGTCCTGGTCTGGTGCCCGCTCGGGGCCGACTGAGTCCTGATGGCCGTGCGTGTGGATCTGAGGCCACCGGCCCGCCCGTCTGGCTCAGCCTCACACGTCTGTAGAACTTTTTTCTCAAATTGTTGCATTGCAAGCTTTTTTGGGGGGGAAAATTATGAAAACCAGGCCACATACATTGGAGGTAAAAAAAATGTCCACTTGAGCCGAATAAAAGAAGTTGATGTTGTATTTGTACGCGCCCCGGCCTGCCCCCGCCCTTCGGTTTTACCCGCCTTCCCGGAGCCTCCGGAGGGTGCGGCGTGCTCTTAGGACAAAGACCACTTCACGACCGTGGGCAGCTCCGGTCAGCCTCGTGTTCTCGCGTCGCTGACTGTCAGCAAGGTCCCAAACGGGGGAGGAATAAACGTCGGCTGCCTTCTGACCTCACGGGTCTCTGTCCCTGTCGGAGCACCAGCTGTGGGCGGTCGTGTTCACGGAGCAGACAGGTCGGGGAGGGGGTGGTCCTTGCAGTGAGACAGTCGCGTTGGTCACGCCGACCTCAGGGCACACGGGGCGAGTGCTGGCGCTAGCGAGACTCCTGAAAGTGTCTGAGTGAAATACTCACCTTTCCAGAGTGTGTCAGGTCTGCTCAGTGACCGCTTCCCTCTGAGGACTGAGCCCCGTCTGGGTCAGGGGCAGAGACATGCACTGTCTCTTCCTCACTGGTCCTGGCTGGTCTTCCGGGAGGGCTGCTGGGCACCGGGCAGGTCACACGCGGTGCCCGCAGGACAGGAGGGCAGCTGGGCACCGGGCAGGTCACACGCGGTGCCCGCAGGACGGGAGGGCAGCTGGGCACCGGGCAGGGTCACACGCAGTGCCCGCAGGACGGGAGGGCAGCTGGGCACCGGGCAGGTCACACGGTGCCCGCAGGACGGGAGGGCAGCTGGGCACCGGGCAGGTCACACGCGGTGCCCGCAGGACGGGAGGGCAGCTGGGCACCGGGCAGGTCACACGGTGCCCGCAGGACGGGAGGGCAGCTGGGCACCGGGCAGGTCACACGGTGCCCGTAGGACCGGGGGGGGGCAGCTGGGCACCGGGCAGGTCACACGCGGTGCCCGCAGGACCGGGGGGGGGGGGGCAGCTGGGCACCGGGCAGGTCACGCGGTGCCCGCAGGACGGGGGGGCAGCTGGGCACCGGGCAGGTCACACGGTGCCCGCAGGACGGGCAGCCGCACAAGGCTCTGCAGACAGCGGGCACGGAGACCACACTGAGGGGCGTCCGGGGGGCTCCTGCAGGAACCCACCAGGTGCGCTGGTGAGGACAGGCACCCTTCCCGGCTTCTGAAGGAGCTGCAGCTGCCGCCTCGTCCCTGCGGGTGGGGGACAGGAGGGAGTGCCCCCCGGAGCCCCGACTGCCCCCGCCCCCGTCAGCGTCTGCTCTGAGGGCATCAGGCACAGGAGAGACAGGTTCTTGAGACAGCCAACTCCCATCATTAATTGCTTCTGCATATTTAAATAAATTACTTCAACGTTCTAAGACTTAGATAACGTTTGTGATGCTTCTCGAAGGTTTCCTTAGGTTGATGTTTGCTTAGGTGTTTACTGCACCTTCTCCGTGAACCAGACCTGCCGGGTGTGCGTGCGCCCAGTGTTCTCCCAGTACCTCGGTGAGGGCTGGGCTGAGGCCCTTCCTGCCGTTCTGACCCCCAGGTGTCCAAGGTGTGTGCACACCTGGTCTTGGGGACCCCGTGGCCTTGGTCGCCCTGGATCGGCCCACAGCACCGGTGCGCGTGGGGAGAAGCCCTGTGTGGCTCTCGGCTGTCTGTCTGGAGTGTGGCCCCGAGTCTTGATGATGTGACTGACCGTCTTCGGAGGCCGAATACCACCACGTGGTCACTGTCACGCGTTCAAGAGGGATTGAGTACACAGCAGAGCAGGTCCCAAGCCCGTGTGGGGATGGCAGAGGGGCCTCCAGACCTCGTGGGTCAGACACCAGCCACAGGCAGAAACCTCACCTCGCGGGCACCAGCCAGCACTGGGCGGAGATGGCCCGGTGAACAGACTGCCCTGGGTCCCCTGGACGCCCAGCGCCAGCCCTTCCGGAGCCTCGGCAGCTCAGGTCTCATGCGTCCCTCGCTTACTGCAACTGTGTCGACTCGGGTTTAAAATGCTCTTTTTATAGACTAAGGGGTACAAGGGACAAGCTGTCAGCTTTTAGAACATCGTTAGGCCTCCTGTGTATAACTGCTAAGGGTTTCCCTTGCCGAAGGACAAATCACGCTGGAGCCCTGAACCCCCGGCTCCCACCGCCGGTCCCCAGGGGAGGCGGACTTCGCCCCGGAACGACGCAGGCTCCCCTGGCCGAGGTCAGCTCTCGAGGATTTTCTTCTGGTAACAGGAGCGGCACAGGGGGCAGGCGTGGAAGGGAGAGCTGTCCCCCCAGGAGAACTGCTCCAGGGCCCGCAGACACGCGTGGTGGAACACGTGTGAGCAGGACAGGAGCGCCGTCTCCCGGGGGCGCTGGCTGCGGCCGCTGCTCAGGGACAGCGGCGTGAGGCAGATAGAGCACTCGGAGGTCTCCCGGCGCAGGGCCTGCAACAGAGACACGGGGCTTGTCCTGCGGGTTCTAGTTTCGGCCTCGAGTTCAGTGAGAACGGTGTGGACAAGTTTCATCCGTGTTGACATTACACCGAACACACATTAACTATATACACATTCTCCTGTGAAAAATGAAAGGGGATAGTAATCCGCCCGCGGTGAGAAATTTAAAAACAAAAATCCTTTATAAAATGCCGAACATTGATCATGTAGACTTCCTTCTAACTAAGCAACAGTGGTCTTTTTCAGAAAACAAACTCTGTAGATACTGAACACCTTTAGAAGTTTTCCTGTTTTTATCCCATTCGAGTAAGTTTTCCCCCACGATCCCCAGTCACCTTTCTGCCGTGACCCCAGAGACCCGAGGGAGGAAGGCAGCCTGTCCCTTGGTAGCCCCCTGCTCACAAACTGGCATCATCAAAGCAGAATTTCAAGCACAAGGGCCTCGCAGTCACCCCGGGGCCAGTGGTGACGGGGAGGGCCCCTCGGTTTCCGCTCCAAGGTCACCGCAGACCCTGGTGGCCGCCGGCCCGTCACCCCGGAGGGCTCACCTGCGCCTGGATCGTCTGCCAGTCGCCGTCGGTGAGCTGGCGGCCGCACTGCCCGCCCAGCTGCTGCAGGACGCTGCGGTTGATGGCCAGGCAGTGGTCGATCTCTGCGAAGAGCTCGTCTATGTCCGTGTGGTAGGAGCGCAGCAAGCGCTGGCTGATCGCTGTGAACTGAGGACAGGGCAGCGAGCTCGCTGCGGAGCCCGATTCGGGGGGCACCTTCTGGGGTCCCAACCACTTTCCTCGCCAACGCGCCTCGGGTCTGCCTTCCAATAAAACTCTTGGGGGCCGTCTACTTAATAACTGCACGTCCAGGAAACCTATGCCGAGAGCACCAGTAGGTCAGCTGGGGGCCAGCTGGTCGTCGGCAAGGAATACATTTGAAATGGAAAGCCGGCAGGAGAAAGGAGCTAGAATTTTACGAACTGAGGTGCATATCCTGCCCCGGCACCGTCTGCTCTCAGTTAAGGAGACAGCCACGGCGCAGCGCACCGACCCTTCGCGCTGCCGCGGACAGCTGGTGCCCGGAGCCGGCCGCGTCTCCGCTGGCCGCCAGCTTCCCGCCGTGGCTGCAGACCACGAATGCTCACTTTCGCGTGACCATGAAGGAGGAGACCAGGAGAAAGATGATCACCTGTGAAAGAGCCGTTGGGTCTGCCCCCCCCCCCCAGCAGGGGCAGCTGAACCCGAGGGCCCTGTTGCCCGAGGCCCTTACGGCTCAGCAGGGCTGCTGCTCAGTGCACGGCTGCAGGACACGGCTGCAGGACGCAGCTGCAGGACCAGGGCTCTCTCCGCGGCCGACACAAACGGGGGCGGCGTGTTCCAGTTCATCTCAAATGCTTAGAGTTTTCTTTGGCCCTGGCTGGTTTGCTCAGTGCTTAGAGCGTCGGCGGGCGGACCAGAGTCTTGGGTTCGATTCTGTTCAAGGGCCTGTACCTCCGTTGCCGTTTGGTCCCTGGCCCTGGTCCAGGTCGTGCGGGAGGCAACCAGTCAATGTCCTCTCCCTCCCACTGTCTGAAGATAAATGGAAAAATATCCCCAGGTGAGGGTTAATAAAAGGAAAGTCTGCTTTGAAGGCAGTGTCCTCAAATAAAGTCTCTAGTATTCCCCAAGCTCTGTTCTTTGTGTAAAGAAAGAGGTTCAGTCCGGCCGGTGTGGCTCAGCGGCTGAGCGCGGGCCCGGCACCAAGAGGTCACCGGTGTGATTCGGGCCGGATCCCCGGCGGGGTCGCGCAGGAGGCGGCCTGTCCCTGTCTCTCTCTCCCCGTCTCTCTTCCTCTCTGAAATCAATAAAGAAAAATTAAAATAAAACAGGAAACAAAAACAACAGAGGAAGAAAGAACGAAAGGTTCGGAGCAGCCCGGGCACCTTGCGGACGACGTGCCTGGACGGACCTGGACGGACCTGGACGGACCTGGACGGACCTGGACGGACCTGGACGGCGGTCGGGGTGGCGCCGGGCGCGCGCCCCCTGCTGGCCGGCGCCGGAACGGCCGGCACGAAGCAGCCCACGCGGGCGCGCGTGGATTTGCCGCGACCCGGCTCCCGGGTGGGGGACGCGGAACGTGCACAGACACAGCCGCTAACGCCGGGCAGCCGAGCCCGTCCGTCTCGGGACTCGGACCACCGACCGCGCGCTGCCCGTCGGCCGAGCTCTCCGCGGGGGCACCTTCCCTCGGCCGGTCCAGGCCGGCTGGGCGAGGGGGACACGGGGAGACACGGCCGCTGCCCCGGCCTGAGGCCCAGGGACGTGCGCGGGCCGAGCGACCCCAGCCTCCGGCGCGGGGAGCGAGGGCTCTGCGGGCCTCACGCGCGGACGGGGGGCGGGGCGCCGCGGGCACGTGGACACCTGGTCTGCGGCGCAGGCGCGCCAGGGCTCCGCACGCCACGCCCCGGCGGAGCACGTCACGTCACGTCACGCCCCGGCGGAGCACGTCACGTCACGTCACGCCCCGGCGGAGGACGTCACGTCACGTCACGTCACGTCACGTCACGTCGGCGCTGCGAGTTCGCTCTCGGGACAGCCGCGGGAGCCAGGACAGCGCAGCGCCCGGGACGGGGCCGCCAGGCAGGTGGGTGAGCGCCTCGTGGGCCGGGGCTCGGGCGGGGCTGCCCGCGGGCTCGTGGGCCGGGGACACACTGCACCGAGGTCCGCGCCTTAGCGGAACCGAACCCGGGTCTCTCCGGACCGCAGGCCGACGCTCCGACCGCTGAGCCACACCGGCCAGGGCCCGGCTGCATTTTGTTCTCTGAGCTGTTACCCCGAGAAACACCCTCCGGTTATTAGCTCCGGGTCCGTCCTCCCGCGAGGACCCCGGGGCGCTGTCATCCTCGCTGAGGGTCAGTGTCTGGGGTTCGCCCACCTTCCCCGCGGCCTCGGCGCCGCCCTCTGCGCGTCTCCTCGTGGGGAAGGCACCTTTGCAGCTCCCTCCGACGGGGCATTTCGGGGCACCCCCCCCCCCCCAGCTCCCTTTGGAACGGCCTCCCGGTGCCTTCTGACCGGGTTTCCACCTGCGTGTGCGGTGCTGGACGGTGTCCTGTCCCTGCCAAGGCCCCGCGATGTCATGGCTGCTCCAGGGGGCGTCACCCCCTCTGCGCTCCTGCTTTGGGGCTGGGGCCCGGTGCCCGGCAGCGTCCGGACCCGCCTTCTCCCCTCTCGGCTGCCGCCGTCCGTGGGAGACTCGGCTCTGCGCTTCCTTCTGACCCGGACAGTTCCAGCCTTTCTGCTTCCAGCTGTGGCTGCTGTGCCACGTCCTGTTTTCCTTCTGAGTTCCGGTCACGGTGGGGCCTCCTGTCCCCGCCCGGGCACAGCCCGCCCTGTAGCCACTCAGACGGAGAGGTCGCTGGAGAGGGACACGGGAGATGCTGCAGGTGAAAACCTCGGGGCAGCGTGGCGCCGAGGCTGCTGCCAAAGGAAGCCCACGTCCAGTGTCCGCGTGGGTGTCCCTGCAGGCTCTGAGCCGGCTCTCACGGAGCACAGGGCCCTGCGTGCTCGCAGCGGGAGCCCAGCGGAGGGGCCGGCCAGGCAGCCTGCCTGGTGCACAGACCCGCCGTGCAGGGAGGGCCTCTGCGGCGTCCGGCAGCCCGGCCCCGGGTTCACGCCGCTGCTCACAGCCTGTCACACGGGTCACTTCCTCTCCCGGGACACTGCGTCCTCCACCCTCCTCGGGTCTCAGCAGCCACTCCCAGGCCTGGGACTGAACCTCACCGGCTCGTCCCCGGCTATGCCCAGAACTGCACGAGGTCGTGCGCCCCCACGGCCACAGGCCTGCTCTCCGCCGGGCCTGTCTGCCGCTGCGGGGGCGCCCCCTCCTCCAGGCCTCCCGGCAGCTGGGACTCCGAGAGAAGCAGAGCCCGTGCTGTCCTGTCACTGCACCGGCTGTGAGCCCAAACCCGGGAGACACCTCTGGTCCCCCCTTTCCTCAGACTTCAACCCGATTCACCGCCAGTCTCGGCCTGCTGTGAGCACCTCCACAGCGGCACCGGGGCGCTGGCCGCATCTCCTGCTCAGAACTCCCGTGGTCCTGACACGGAGAAGCCTGTGCCCCCAGCCTGGCCACGCGGGCCTGTCTGATGCCTTCCCTCCGCGGGCAAACTCCTCGCCTCCGCCCTGAGCCGCACTCTGGACCGAGGTCTGCGAAGTGCAGGCCGCGAGGACCTGGCTGGAGCCCGTCCGCCGGTCAGATTTAACGTACACGTGCGTGTCCACGCAGCTGGCGTAACGCGGGCACGGCTCTCACACTTGCCAACAGCATACGTTTTCTTCTTTAGCTGAAACTGTCATTTAATTCTCAATTATATGACATTTTGTCAATGAGAAAAATAACGATTCCCCTCATAGGTGGTGGCGGCTGCAGACTATTAAATTGCAGTTAGGTCTGTCTCGGCGGAATAATTCTGACTTGACCGCGTGGAGGTGGCACGGTGAGTCTTCAGACTTGTGGGACAATCCGAAGGCAGTGGTGTCGGCGGTAGGGGATCCCGGACCTGCCCCGGATCAGCTCCGTGCGGCCCAGCACACCTGCTCCGACAGCGATGGGGCCCCACTGCGCAGCAGGCAGGGGGGGGGGGCTGGAGGCCCAGAGGCGGAGGGGCAGGCGGGGCGCCCCAGCCTCTCACTCGGTCCAGCTTCCCCCCTGCACACTCTGGAGGCCGAGTCCGGGGGCCCCAGGCCAGCCGACCCCCACTGCTCTCCTCCGTGAAGCTTCGGGTCTGGCCTCGGTCTGCCCGTGGCCTGTGCGTCCCTCCTCTGGGGCGGGAGGTGGGTTCCCGCTCCCGCCCCGGGGCACCGAGCGCTGCCCTTCCTCTGACACGCGCCCGCCGGACCGTGGGCCTCTCCTGTGCTGCTTGCTCCTTGCGTTCGAGGAAGCACCTCCTGCGGCTCGGAAGGCCCTTAGCACGCAATTCTTCTCCATCACCATTAATTCCGTGCCCGCTCCCTCCTCCATGCACACCCCACCCCGCGGTCACCACACGCCGTCCCTGAGGTCTCGTCTTGCTCAATCCGTCCCTTCCCCCAGGCCGTCTCTGTTTCGCCTGGTAGTTCAGTTTGTTCTCGATAAAAATTCTGACTCGAAGTTTGCAGTGGGTTAGACAAGAGGACACACATGTCCAGTGTCCGTGTTCTGAAGGGTGTGAACAGTTTTCTTTTTGGGGTTAAAAACGTCTGTGGACTGATTTTGAAGTTACCACCAGTTTCAAGATTCCATAGAAGATTGGTGTTTAGCTTATAATCATAACATTGACATTAACTTGTTGATGAAAGTACTGAAAACCCTTCAGTGTATATTTAGGGCAAATTTCTGAGTGTGACCGTCTTTATTCTCATAGCTTCAAGTATCACAGTCAGCAAGGGAACTATTTAAGAAAGTCAAATCAGCCTGTATTTATTGACTACTTACTGTGGCCAATTCACTGCGCCCTAACTGGAGCTGTTATGAACTGTTTAACTGCCAAACCCCCACAGGCTCAGGGTCCCTTTCCTCCACTGACCGGTCTGCCCCGGTGTCGATGCCTCAGGAAGTGAAGGGCCAGGACTGGCAAAAAAAAAAAAAAAAAAAAGAAAAAGACCCTTGCGTGTTAGTTTGTAAATGAATGGTTACTATGATTAATTCCACAGAAATACATACAAAATGCACAAAATTTTCAGCTTCAATAATGACTGTCTTCATA